TTATATAAAATTTTTTCTTAATATAATTATATTATTATTAGATTTTTCAATTAAAAGATAAAATAAATATTTTATTAAAGAGCTCTATAGAAATAGAAATTGTATTAATAAAAACAGTTATTATAAATAATAATGAAACTTAATAATTAAAATATTGTGTTTTTTATAATAAAATAATGTAATAGATAAACAAAATAATTAGTATTTGATCAGGCTGGAACAATGATTGCATTTATATCATTTATTTCTTAATCATATCTAATTTAATCATTTTATAATTTTTCTACAATTAATCTAGTGTTAAAGAGACTTTTAGTTTTTTCGCATTTACTAAGAGTAGAAGTATTTTATAAGTTTTTGAGTTGTTCTTTAGTAGTTTTTCCAGTAATGATAAGATAGATATGAAATATAAGTAAACTAAAGACTAATAGTATGCATATTCCAAATGGTATCATTAAAATAATGATAAGAATTTGTTGAACTTTTTGATCAGTTGTTAAAATGAGTATAATAAAACCTAGTAATTAAATAAGAAAAGAAATAGCTGCCATAGTAAGTGTAGCAACGAATGATATAAAGTATGCATAATTTCGTTTACCAATACAATTATTAACATATGGACAATGATGATCAAATACATCAATGCAATTGAACAATGATTAGAACGAGGAGGTTTTTTAATCATACAAGTAAGACAAATTTTAATTTGATAATTAGCATTTTCAGCTTCAGTTGGTATTAAGTGAATGAGATTTTCATCTTTAATTCTTTCAATGATTTGTTTTCTAGGTATTATTCCCTATATTATAAATAGTATATTTTACAGGATCAGTGAATTAAGTCATAATTAGGAAAAGGATACAACTAAAATACATGACATATGATATAATAGGAAGAGATGGATGTAATACAATCCAAATCTATGGAGATATATAAAATATAAATGGAACACCTATCAGAATTATAAAAAACCATGTTATTATATTCTTTTTATTGTCTTCTTTTGGTCCTGTCATTATATGACCTTTACAGAAGAATCTATTGTTAGATGGCCATAATTAGTATAAGTACACTAGTTATTATTTATTTTTATTCATTTGGGAAATTAAGTATTTTAAAATTGCAATTTAAAATCATTAATTCATTTTCTATTTAGGTGAGAAGGGTCTATTGTATTCTTTGAATTTTCTATCTGAATTCTTTACAGATAAAGGTTCTCTTATCTCATGAGGACCTGATTTTATAGAACATTGTTTCAAAAGAGGCTTCTCTTCTATTATTCCATTTAAAACAGAAGATTTTATCTAAATTGAATGTGGAGGCATTATCTAATTAAAATGAGGAAAGAATCTATTGAATTTGTAAAAACTCAACATCTTGGTTTACAATGATTAACACTAATTTTTTTTGTTTATTTTACTTCCTTATACAACTCTAATAATTGTTATTTATTGCATATCAAAGTTGGGTTCTTTTCTATTAGATACTTAACGTCTTTTAGTATAAATATATAAATATCCTGAATGTCAAAATATAAGAATTTAACTAAATGAGCCATTACAGGATTTGGATCATGGTCTTAATTGATCTTTTCTATCAATTATTACATACTCATTCCTATATAACATTGATTAGATAATGTGAAGTAAATCATCAAATCATCTTATGGCTTATTGAATTCTTCATTTATTAATGTAGTTTAAGCAGCTAATTTATATATATAACAATAGTATGATTAACATAATTATCCATGCACATTCTCTAAATCATCTTTACTCTTGATATTTATTATTAAACGTGTATTGATGATCATTTTTGAGAATTCAGCTCTTGCCACTTAAGAACTGATGATAATGTGTACTAACAAAAGCATTTTTAATTTTATGAAGAAGTTTTTCTCTTATTGTAAGTAATCTCCTACAACCACTAATAACTATTTTAAGAACTAAGACTAAGAAATGGTCATTTATTAATTTACTTTTGATTGATCATTTGCAAAAAAATGCTTTAATCTTTTACTTATCTCTGCTTATTATGTAAATTAAGTATCATTGGTATTTAATTTTAAATCTCTCAGTGCTGCCAAAACAGGATTGTTAGCTTATGCCACAGAATTATCATTTATCAATTGTTTTAATTTTGTAATCATATGATTATTTATATTTTCTGTTAAAGTAAATTTATATAATCAATTCGAACTCTATGTATTTTAAGATTTATTTATTATTTTAAACATTTACTATCTTTTATTTATTATATGAAGAATAATTATATTTCATAATTGCATAATAAAAAACTCCTATTTTTTTAAACATTTTAACTACTTAACATGTTCTTGAAATGGAATATATTGATTTCTTATTTAATGAACAATTTTAGTATTTTTTATTTAATCTTTTGAGTTCAATTCATTTTAATTTTATTTCTAAATTTATTTTTATAAAATTATTTGGTTAACTCTTTTTCAATCGTATTTATATCTTAAATGTTAATGAGTTTAATTTTATATAGAGAAAAGTATTTTTGAATTATTTTTAAGAATACATATGATCACATTTATGCTGTCATAGTTTAGAATCTCAATAATAGGGTAGCGAATTTGTTTATATATACATAATGCAATATAAATACTGTATGGCATAGAATCTTCAAATGTTAGAATATATCATACTTTTTTTCATCGAAAATTTATATTCTTTTTTGAAATAATAATTTTCTTTTTTATTTTATGTATCTCTTGTTTTTTGAACTAAAAATTTCACTTCCTTAAAGTCTGTTTTAATAAAAATGAATGCTTAAAATTAATTTATTATTGGACTCCTACTTACTATTCTATAGGATTAATTTAGTTAATATATATAAAAATAATAAATAAATGAAATATAACTAATAATTAGTTTTCACATTTATCCAAAGTTATGAGTAATATTAAATTGTTCATTTTCTTGGAATTGTAATTCTTGAATATAAAATTATTGACTCAAATATTGTTCTTGAAGTAGATTATTTTGTTAGATAAGATCATGTAATTTATTTGTTAAGAAATAAATTTGATTTTGAAACTAATCCATATTGAGTTAGAATTATATAGCATATTAATTTCTCAAATTATTTGATTGCTTATATAATAATTGATAGAATACATTTAATTATTATTCCAAAAAATTGTTTTTTTTAATAGCTTCTTAAAGAGTGTATTAAATGCTATCTTTTTATGAAGTAAGTTCTTAAATTTAAATTTATAGTTCTTTGGAATTGGAGGTTTAAGAAAATGAATTGGCAGGAATTCTAGTAAGATTGTCTTTATTTGAATTAATAATGAGTGTCTTATAATCATTTAGAAATTAATTTGATTATTAGTCATAAATTCTTTGTGTCTTATTTAACTGCTACCTATTAGGTGTTGAATCTAAACAAACATATCTGACATTGTTTGGAGTGATTGCCATACGAGTTCTTGGAATCTATGCTTATATAAACATTTGTTTTAATAAAATAACAGTCACTAAATTAATTATCATTATTCTTATTCATCTTTTATTTCTATAATTCTATTTTATTATCTTTCTTATAATGATTGATTATAATTATCCCTACTATTCTTGAATTAGTAAGTAGATCTCAAATCTTAATATGTGGATTTTGTTTTCCTAGACAAATAATCAGCAGTTGAAGGAATTTCAATTGAATATTTTATTGGTGTTATTGATTTACAATTTCTTAATCTTAAATTAACATATTTTTGTATTATATTTTATTTGGGAGTTAGAGTCTAAGATGGCATTTATTTAATTTTGATATACTTTACAGATTTCACTTATTTAAATAAATGAGTAGAATTGAGAAATTAATTAAGATTTTATTCATGTCTTTAAATTTGTTTTGAGTATACTCTTGGTATAAATGTTTTACCTTTTGATGTAACTTCTTACATTGCAATCTTCTCTTGATTATCAACTATTTATTCTGAGATTCTCTGTGATTAGAAATCTTTCACTTAAGCTTTTATGAACTATCAAGGACATACTCATACTTGCTTCACTGAAATATTCTGGTCCTTCAAAAGTACAATGTCGTTCGTAAATGTTCAGTGACTTATTTGTGAAAGACATCTTGCAAACTCTCTTTGTGAATAAAGTAACAGATTTACTCCAAAATGCTTATATTTATGCTATTCAATAATTAATTGTTATCTTACAATTAAGATCGTCTGCTGGTTCAATAAATTGCTATAGGATACCAAAGGGTAATTCGAAATTACCATCCATAAATTTATTAAATACTTCAACATCAAAGTATATCACTTGGATTTAGCCACTCATTTTAAACTTATCTGCAGGGTAATTTAAATCTAAATTATCACTTGCAAATTTAAAGGGAACAACGCATACATAAAATGTAAAAGGTATGCAATAACACCGCCTCTCCCAACTTATTGATTCCATGTTTGTTTAATATTTTGTTTAGTTACATTCTTTCTCATTTTCTTTTTTATTTCCCCGGTTTCTTTATCAGTGTAATACGAGTAGAAGGGCATTAAGGAATAAAAATAACAGTATCAGGTATAAGAATTGCAGGAGGGTTGGCAGTTTCTGATTTAATCGATAGGTATTAATAGATTTCGTCATATAGATAAAATAGTTTTATAAGAAAACGATACAAAATATGCTCTTACATACTTTGACTGCTAAACATTGTAAAATATATAAAATATTAAATTATTATATAAAAGTAATGTAATATGAATAATTAAGATTAATAAGAATGATTAGTAATGGATAATAATAATGAGGAATTTTATAATAAAAAGTGAATTTTTCAACTAAAATTTTAGCCATTTTGGTTTAATATTATTTTTATGATTCGATGTCATAGTAGAAGTCGTAGTCGAAGTAGAGAGAAGTAATTAAGACCTTAGGAGAGATGTTAAGATAATTTGTAATAAATAAAGAAGGTATTTATGGATGTAAGTATAAATGTAAAATAAAAATAAGGGTAGACCAAATACAAATGCAGAGGATGTTAAAAGGTATCGTTAAACAAATCGAATATTTATAAAATCATCTCATTCTTTTGTTCCTGATCCAATACTAAGATTTGAAGACATATACTGTTTTCCAAGACCATTATAAGAATTAATAATAAAGGCTGGATTTACAGGTCCAACTGCAATATAAGCATAGAGTTGGTCAATTAGTTTGACAGGTCATGATTTAATAGGGATAGCATAAACAGGATCAGGAAAAACATTAGCATTTTTATTACCTGCAATAATTCATATATTAGCTTAATTGAAATAGAATTCTGATCCATAATGTTTGATAATGGCTCCAACAAGAGAACTTACTAATTAGATTTATGAATAATTTACAAAATTTTCAGTTGGTTCTGGATTGAAAGCAGCATGTTTATTCGGAGGTTAAGAGAAATTTATATAAAAAAATTAATTAAATTAACATCCTCATATATTGATAGCATGTCCAGGAAGATTGATAGATTTAGTAGAATCAGGTAGTACAACATTAAAAGGAATAACATTTTTAGTATTAGATGAAGCAGATAGAATGTTAGATATGGGATTTGAACCATCAATTAGAAAAATAGTAGCTTAAACTAGAAGTGAAAGATAAACAATGTTATTTTCAGCAACATGGCCAAAAGAAGTATAATCATTAGCTTTAGATTTTTGTACTTAATAACCAATTCATATACAAATAGGAAGTTTAGATTTAACAAGCAATAGATAAATATAATAAAAAGTAGTCATATTAACAAAGGATTAAAAAGAAAATAAATTAAGAGAAATTCTATAATAATTAGGAACTAAAAAGATTATTATATTTTGTTAAACCAAGATTAAATGTGATTAATTGCAACTTTATTTGATTTAAGATGGATTAAGATGTAAATCATTACATGGAGATAAAAGATAGTCAGAAAGAGATTTTGTTATGAATAGTTTTAAACGAGGAGATACAACAGTATTAGTAGCAACTGATGTAGCATCTCGAGGTTTAGATATTAAAGATATCGAATTTGTAATTAATTTTGATATGCCAAGATTGATAGAAGATTATGTTCATAGAATTGGAAGAACTGGTATAATATAATATATAATATATATTTTAGGTAGAGCAGGTGCTTAAGGTGTATCAATATCATTATTTGATTCTTATGAAGATGCTAAATTAGCAGGTGATTTAGTTGGAGTACTTAGAGAATCATAAAATGAAATACCTAATGAATTATCTCATCTTGCAAATGTAACTAATTCAGGATATTTAAATTATCGTAAATGGAATGCTCCCTCTGGAAAAATTCAATATTGCAGTTGAAAATATCTATGTATCTTATTATTAAGTTTTACATATCTATGATATTATCCAAATATTACATATTTCAGTCTTCATAAAAAGAACGTTCTATCTTTATAAATTAAATTAGAGATTGCGATAATTTAATATTATAAAATTAAATGTTTACTTAATTGATATATAAACAATAAATCAAACTCTCTAAAGAAGTATTCAGTCTTATTGGAAATTGAAATCCAGAAAAAGAAATATTATTTTAATTCATAAACAAAAAATAACATTAAAATCATACAATTATCAAAATAGTGAATAGATAAACCAATAAAGGATCTAAATTTGCATTTATTTATTATTGAATAGAGAAACAACAGTTTAACTAAATTTTTAAATTTGAATTATTGATATTATATTATATAATATAATTATTATTTATATACAATAATTCTTTTTTTGTCAAAGTAAGTCCTATTAGTGTAATGGTAACACGTGAGATTCCGGCTCTTGAATTCGAGGTTCAATTCCTCGGTGGGACGAATTTTTTCAACAAAAATCTAGATTAGGTGATGATTTATTATTATTTTAATAATATCCATCATCATTCCTTTACTTTTAATGATTCTGCCAAACTTATAACTCTTGTCCATACTTCCTACATTACTTAATGGTTTTCTATTTCCAATTATGATAAATCTCTAATTATTCTCTTGTATGATTCATGTTTATCTTTCTTAAACTTGTCTATCGCTTTGGTTGTCAAAACATGTGTTACCAATTGATAATAATATTTATATGAGTCTACGTCATTTTAGCTCTTTTATATTTATCATTTTTTAATACTTCTACTATTTACATTTCTATCTTCTATCGTTATTCTTCCTAATTCTTATTCCCAAAACTTGTTCCTTTTCCTATCATTACTTTAGTCAATTATTCTTATTATTCTCTTAATTTATTCTCTACTTTTGATTTTAAGTGTAATAACGACTCTCGTTATTAAAAACCTTATAAAAATGCTTCCATGTCTCTCTATTCTGTAGATATCAAATCTTAAATTTTATCTAAAGATATTTAATTTTATTCTTTCTAAATATTTATTATTTTGTAATACTAAATAATCTAAAGTTGATTTCAATTCTTATGCATCAGGATTTGTTAAAATTAAATATTTTTAACTCTCTAAACAAGGAAGCAATATTTATTGTTCAAATTCATATAATCCAATTCCAAAAAATGAATGGAACAATTCTTTTAAGCATCTTCTACTACCACTTAAACTTTTAGCTTAATCAAATAATTTTATTAATAATTGCTAAGATTATTTACAAAATTTTTGCATTTGATTTATTTTATTTATTGAATTTATATCAGGTTCTTAAACTTAATCTGTTTCAAATATATGTTTAAATTTATCAATCTAAGATCTAATATTAGGTTTAGGTAAACTTTGTATTTACTATAAAATCATTCATTATATACATACCTTACAAACATCTGTTTATGTTGATCTCAAAAATATTTATACAAATTCTTCTGAATAATATAAATACTTTATCTGAGCCATTTTCATCACAAAAATATTTAATAATCTAACTCTCTCTAATAATTCATCTCCGGTTGGATTTACTAATTTATCTGGCAAAGGGGGTATGTACAATCCTGGCCAAATTGATAATAATGCTTCTCTTAATATATAAAACTCATTAAATCTTCTCTGAACTTCAAAATTTCCTAAAGCATCTTTTCCCTTCACTGTATATACTAGATATTTATTCATTGATGAAGATTTTACTTCAGAAGGATTACTTACTAAGATGAATATCTAAATCATATATATATAATACAGGTTCATCATTATCAATCTATTGTAAGATTGCATCATTCAATTTCTATTATTCATTACTATGTTATTCAAGAACTTCTTATTATTAAACATGCTCTCCTTATGTATTTTCTGTCGAATTTTGCTACGTTGATTCATCCGTATCAAGAACATTGTTACTCCTCTCATTTGTTTCATCATTTTGCATATTTATTAATATAGAATTTATTGAATGAATATATGTATTTTATTCATTGAATTTTATATGAGAATATTTTATTATAATCATTAGTTATTATTGATCTATTCTTAGAAGTAACATACAATTACTTTTTTGAATAGATCATTTTTTACTAATATTAACACATCGAAACCTATTAATTATTTTAATAGATTGGTATAATAATTTTATATTAAATATAAAGATTTCATTTAATTCAATCCTTAAAATAAAATATATAGGTATATTGTTTTATGAAATATCATTTAATTTAACTTAATTTCTACATTAAGAAGAATTATTACAGATTTAAAAATAAAAAGAAATTCTAAAATATTGAATCTTACATTTTTAACTGAATTTGTTTATGGATTAAGAGCTAATGCTATAAATTTTTGGATTATATTTAATATTTTTAAAGTAAAATAAAATCTTAACCTATAAATAAATAATCCATGCTATATTGATTTTTATTCTAGAATTATTTTCTCCAGAACTTTTTATAATTGTTTTAAAGTATAAGTTTAAAAATATACAAAATCAATTTAAAAAGAAAATATCAATTTATTTTTCATTTTTAAGGAAAGATTAATAATAGAAATAGGTAAAGTAAAATTTTATAAAGACGCTGCCTATAAATTTAAATTATAAATCTTAATTGTAATAATCTAATCTAAATAGTTGTTTATTAGCTTTATAAATCATATTTATGGCAACATTTTCTAAACGATTTTTAATTTGTTTTTATATAAAATCCAACTGCTTAAATCAATTAGATTTAAAAAGTGATATCGTTTTTTATTCAACTTATCAAATTAATGAACTGGGCAAACTAATAAAAATTCAATTTAAAGATTGATTCATTTCTTTTTAATAGAAAATAGATGATAAATGTATTAATATCAATCACCTTATTCTTTCAACTAGCTTATTTTAATACTCATATTACAATCTTAGGTATTTTTTAATGATTTTCTATCCCTTTGATTTTATCTCAAATTATTTAATATGTTCCTAAAATTGTATTGTACTTCAAAATGCTCATAATTCTACCATTTGTCAATATTTAGATTTGTGAACTAATTATAAAGTTCATTATTTAAAATTGAAATCATCTAGTACATACTGAAAAATATCATACTTATCCAGTTAATGAAATAAATTATTAATGTTTTAGAGAATTCACATATGTACCTGACATCTATCTGGATTTATAACTATTTAAATTATTTACCATATTGCTTGATTCACATTCATCTAAAAAAGGTTTGCTTTCGGTTTTTATGTGATTAATCAAATGTTCTTAACAATCTAAATTTAATAAACCTTTATTTAAATCCATATTTTCAGTTTTATCATGACCTGATTCACATTATTTGCTTTTCTTTAATGTATCATTATATAATTCTTAAACGAAATCTTCACTATTGTTAGAATTCATATAATGTGATAAAATTTACTAATCTAAAATTTTTTCACTTTTAAATTCTTTAAGAATTTCACCTAATATGGATAAAATTAAACAATATTACTATTATTTTCAAAATTAAAAGCTGAACTCTTTCTTTCAAAAATATTATTGTTATTCTACTTTTTTTAAAAAATTTTGGAAACATCAGATTTTGATAAAATACTTTTGAACACTTTTAATTTTAAAATGTTGTTTTTTTTATTTTATAATCTTAAATCTTTATTAAATGATATTTTTACATTTTTTCCTTTCTTAGTTTTGAGGAGATAAGTATTAAGATATTATATCATCTTTATTCAACTACAAATGCATCTATGGGCAATTACTAAGAATATGAAAACTTGAATTACAACATTAACATTTTAATTTCAATATTGAATAATTAGATTTGTTAATAGTTTAATTAATTATTGATAATTATTCTTTATCAACAGAATTTTTTTCAATAAAATAAAATAGGGTTTATCTTTTTAATTTAAATAACAGTGAATAATGATCGCTTTAATAGGAAAAACAGTCTTTTAAACCTGTAAAGAAAGTTAATTATCCAAAATGTTAGCCTTATATTAATTCTTCAATTTTTTCAAAATTATTAACTTAATTATTTTAAATTCCTAGATTTATTGTTCCATGTATTATAAAATTTATTGTTAATTCTTCATATAATTAATCACAAGAAATTATCTATTGTGGATGAATTAAATGTAATTCCATAGATTTAATTAATTAATCTTAAGTTCTCTAAGAAAATTATTCAAATAATTTTGATTATTAAAATAATAGTCTTCCCAATTCTTGGTGAAAATGTTAATTTTAAATTATTTGGTCATATAATGATAAATATTTAAAATCTTCTATTTCGTGATTCCTAGTTTCTTTTAAAATCTAAGATGACTTTTCGAAATCAACAGATAAATTTCTTAATAATCCCTCAAATGTTATTTGTTTATTAACAAAAAGATAATCAAAGCTTAAATGGTTTCTCCATAAATTTAAGAGATAAATAAACACTTAAAATAAGAAAGTATTATAAAAGATTATCAAAGCCATCTCTAATAGAGCTAGATTTATATTATCTTCATTATCTTTTAATATATTACATTAAATCATTATAAATATATATTTCCTACAAAAGGTCAAAAAATCCAACTATTATAAATTGATTATACTTAATTAGTAACACTTTAACAGATGTAAAAAAATAAAATTTCCGAATAAAATTTTTAATCCAACTTGCGTAGCATGATTTTAGATTGTTAAATTTTTTATTAAACTTAAAATACATGCAATCGTTTAAATGATGTTTATCACTTAGAACTTTTATAATTGTAAAATCTAAATTACAAATGACAATATTAATAAAAGTAAAATAATAAGCTCATAACTGAGATCTTACCACAATTATAACAAAATATCTTTTTTGGTTTTTTTAGATGATTTTTAATACCTTTTAAGAAATACATTTAAAATAATAGAAGAAATCAAGAGAGTTATTTAACACAAGGTTCCATAGATTTTAAAGGGAGAGTCTTTAAGAACCATATAAGTCGGGCTCAAAATACCAATTAAAAATAGGATTAATACAAATGTTAATTTAGAGAGTTAATTTTCGTTTAATTGAATTAGTTTTTTTTTATTCTGATATTTTGGAATTTACATATCAGATAAATTTTTATTAAGCAATTTCTAAACTAAATGAGAAATACTTCTATTTTCTTCAAAAAAATAGTTATTGAATATCTAAATTTAGTCTAATTCTAAGTCTTTCTTTACGGTATCAGAAATAAAACTGTTTTTAAAATTATTGATGGGATTACAACTGAATGATTTATTTTCTAGTGTTTATTTCTTTAAAGTAGTACAAGGTTGTTTATTGGATTCCTATTCAATTTAATCAAAAGATAAATAATTAACATCAAAGCAAGAGTTATTGTCATTTGGTTAAAATGGGTAATTTAATCTGTATTTTTTAGATTATTCTGAAATTGATTTTCTTTTTAATATAAAATATGTACAATGAAACTTATTCATTCCTTGGGGATGAAATTTGGATCATAGTCTGAACAAAAAATTAAATAATAAAAATTATTACGCTAGTCTTAAAATTCTTGAAAAGATTATAAATTAATTTTACTGAGAAAATAAAATGCTCATTAATTTAAAGATTAAGAAGATAATATTTAAAATTTTTAGAATATATTTTATTTTTTAGGATAAAATGTAAAAGTGAAATGTTTTTTAACTTCTGTCGTCATGATAAATATTAGATAGCAAAAGAATTATACATGAAAAAGCAATTTAAAATTTAATAGTATTGTAAAATACAGTATAAACATGATTTTCGGTGTCTCTTTTAGTAATAATCATCAATTATTAAAGAAATGTTTATAAATTAAAAAAGCAATTATAGTTAATTATATCTAATATTAGAAACGAATTCATTTAATAGAAAAGCAATTCGACTAAATATAATATCAAAGTTAAATAATAGAACTTTATAACAAGATTGAAAACTTATTATTTTAAACTAAATTCAAGCAAAATATAATTGTGTAGCTGTAAAACATTGATCTAAATTTTGATTTTTTTTGATAGCTACTCTTTATTTATTTCGACTGCTGCAAGTATGTTTTGGAGTATAAGATTAATTTAAAGGTGATCGATTACTTGTATTATGTAATCCTGTTTAATCTCTTGTTATGCGAAATGAATGCTAAGAAGTGACAATTCTTGGTCTTTAAGTATTTTCTTTTTATATTTTGTTTGTGTAAATTGATCTGAGTATTTTATTAAGAGCTTTGTTATCCATAACAGCTTAATCACATAATTCTGTTAATGAAATCATATCATTCAACTCTTCTTCTTGCTTCTTTAATTTGTATAAGGTTTTGGCTAAGTTTTAGGTTGAAGATGTGTAAATGGGTTTCAATTGATTAGTTTTTCTCATATGATAATTAATGTAGTAATAAATATGATATAATCAATTCTCTCAATAAATCTAATAAAATAGTCAATCACAATTAAGAACAAAAAAAAATAATTAATTATTAATTAAATTAAAAATATACATAAAAATATGAAAGGAATAAGGAGTATTTAGATGAAAAATAAAATAAATGGAAAAAAGTTATTAATAAATAAATTAGAAATCAAAAATCTAGTTCTTATTTAATTTTTAATTATTCTACTTAATCTGTATCTAACCATTAAGTTCTTTTTCCTTCTGCCCAAATTCCATATTTAGGTGGTTGATTTGGTAAATAATAAGCTCCATATCCTTATTATTTACCTTCAATCCAATTTCCAATATATCTTCTTCCATCTGGCCATAAAAATTATCCTCTACCATGTTTTAAATCATCCTAATAATTCTTAAATAAAATAAATAAAATATAGTTACTCCTATAAATTAACGACCATCACTCCATTTAATTTCTCCAACTCCATTCATTTTATTTTATTTCCAATTACCTTTATAGATCCTTCCATCAGACCATTCATAAACACCATATCCATGAATTTCATTATTTGAGAAAAACCCTGTATATTTGGATCCATCAGCAAAATATAATGTGCCATGACCTTCTTTTCTTCCATCTTAATATTCTCCTTCATATTTAGCTCCATCTGGCCATGTTTCAATTCCTTTACCTGATTATTTATCATTAAACCACTATTAATATAATCTAATAATTATACTTAACCTTCATATCTAGCTCCATTTACATGTTAATATATTCCTATTCCATGTGCTTTATCATCTAACCATTCTCCTTCATATACATCACCATCAGCATGTATAAGTTTACCTTTTCCACAACAACGACCTTCAATCCATTATCCATCATAAATAGAACCATCTGGCCATATTTATTTACCTTAACCATCTCTTTTACCCTTTAACCATTCTCCTTCATAAACAGCTCCTTTATCTAATGTTTTTGCTCCCAATTTAATCCTTTCATCACTCATTGTATCATCTTATTCTCCTTTTTATACTTTTTAATTAAACTCTAAATTTTTATTTTTTTTTTTTTAAAATACACAATTTTTATTTGGTTTTTCTTAAAGATCATATTTTGTTATTGGACCATCATCTTCAAAATTTTAAAGTTTTTTATTAGGACTTGAATTTTATTTATCACCTTATACATATGCAGATTCTTTTTTTTATTTAATTTACTCATTATTAATTGTTTTATCAATTTTAGGATTTATTTAAATTTATTCTTCTTTTTATTTTATTTTTTATTTATCTAATTCTTTTTATTCATTAATACGATCTTCTTCAAATTTATCTCTTTATTTTTATATTGAATGATTAGAATGTTTAACTTTAGAATCATCCATATCTGGATTTCCTTCATTAATATCGATTTCACTTTTTTAATGTGTTCTTAATCCATATTCTTAATCTTTATTACAACAATTAGTTTAACAAGTACCCATTAAATTATATATATATAAATATATAATCAATTCAAAATTTTAATTGTTTACTTTTTTAAACATATATATATTTTTCATCTTTATTAAGGTTACGCCACATGTGTTTAAGTGTTTCTAGTCTCTCCTTAAAGCCATATTCAGGATGTTATTTTTTAATTTCGACAATATGATCAAGTTTGAATAATTTAAAAGCACTTTTATTTTTTTGGTCTTTCGGTGTAAAATGTAATGGAGGAAATTCTTCTGGATTTAGACTGTTAGGTTTAGTTGATATATATTTACATTTATTAGTTCTCTGCCCATTCTTACCAATCTTTCATTGCTTTATCACAATCTTAAAAGTGTTTAGATTACTTCATTAATTTATGTAATAGTTATTTTGGAAGAAAATTGAAATTGACAACAGTATGTGAAAAATTCAAATTTATTAGAGAAACATGGTCGTCCACCAAAGTTAGAAGAATGTGTTAATTTAGTATATTTGATTGATCAGAATCGATATTTATACTTTGGAGGCAAGAACCCATTCAATATTAAAGATTTATAATAGGAAGGTATTTAATTGAATTAAAAGTAATAGAGAAGTAGCCATCTCCACCAAAAAGTGATGGAATATCATTTAAAATAGGTGCTCCAAAGTAAACAAGAGTTAGCAGTCCATTTAGTAATTAAGAATGCTAGGATTATGTATATATTTTGGATCCAGCCACATATTAATGGAGTATTAAGAAATGTACAGGAAAACCACCAACTAGAAGAACAAGTGCATAAGTATGGTATGAAGCCCCATTATTATATGTATATGGAGGCATTACATATGAAAATAAAACTGTTAATGATTTATACATATTGAATACAGAAAAGTTTGTTTGGAAAAGATTCTTTTATTTAGAAGGACCACCAGGTAGATTACATTTTGGATTCTCCACATAAGGAATTAAAAAATATTTAATGGGAGGAGCTAGTATGCCAGAAAATCTATTGATGGATGATGTATGGCAATTATCAGTAACAAATCTAAATTTTTAAATATTAGTTTGAAAATGTAGCATGGGAAACTTAATCATTAGAATTACCTGGAATCACTTGGGAAAGACTTCCATTTGATGATATGCCAGCAATTAAAGCACATACTATGATATAAGTTTCAGATAAAGAATTATTAGTATATGGAGGATTTAATAAACTAAAACAATGCTAAGATCGATGTTTATTATTGGATATAGAAACTTATGATATTAGTTAATTAGAATTAAAGGGATAATCACCAGGATAAAGAGCATTTCATGTACATAAATATGTTATATTTTTAGGAACTATTAGTAGTAAAGGAGAATTTGTTATGTTTATATGGTGGATATAATGTAAATGAAAATTAATTAAAAAATTGTGAACCTTTGAATGATTTATATTTATTGAATTTGAATGAAGGATATTGGTCAAAACCTGTAGCAGGTGGTTATATACCAACTCCAAGATTTGGTTATGTAATGTCATGTAATTAAAATGAAATACATGGTGAGATTTTATTATTAGGAGGACGTTTAAATGATGGAAGTGTTGATTAATGCATCTATGTTTTACATGAATTAGATATGGAAGCAAGAGAGGCTTGGGATGAAAAAGATGAGAAAGAAAAGAATAAATATGATACTTATAGAGAATTAAAGAAAGAGAATAAGAATGTGACAGTTCCAACTATGACATTAGTATTTGATGAAGCAGAAAAGATTATATTAGAATAAAAGAGAACAATAGGAGAAAAAGAAAAGGATTTAAAATAATTATAGACCAATTCTATGTAACTTGAATAGAAAGCAGAAAAATTGTAAGAATAAATAGATGTAGGAAAATTGAAGATGGATTAAGATCTTGAGAATACAAGAATTGAGATAACAGAATTAAATTAGAAAGCAGATTAAAGTCAAACTACTATTGATAAGATATTATAATTATTAGCTTTTGAAAGAAAAAAGAGAAAACTTGTATATAGAAAAACTTTGGCTCTTGAAGATCTTTATAGAAAAACATCATTATATATATTTGAGATGGACAAGGTTTTTGTAAAAGGATAGAGTGAAAATCTATTAGAGACTTCAATAAACGAAGATATACTTAATGTTATTGATTAGAGAAAACAAGAATATAAAAATATTCTTATATCATTTCATAAATCATTTGAAGAAAGGTATAAATAAGAAATGCAAGTGAGACAACAAATTAGAAGCAATAAAGATATCTTAAAATAGTTCCACAATATTAATGAGGTTTACAAGAAGACTTTGGTTAAAGAAGATCGAGAATATTTAGATAAAAAAATATGATGTGTGATAATTAAATTAATATATCATTATAAAGGCTCATATCTCAGTTCCATTTTATATATATTACAGTATCCATTTTCCAGACCTAAAACACAGTATTCCACTCCATTATATACTCCAACAACACAACATTTAAAGAGTTCTTAAAGTATGACTTTTTGAGGTATTTGTTCAATATAATTATACAATGAAGTCTTTGGAATTTAGTTTTAAGTAATAAATGATGGAGAAACTTCAGTATATGAAATAATTAAAAAAGGTGATGAATTGAGTATTTGAAATGTACTTATATTTCCAAAAGAGACTTCATGAAATAGTTGAAATTCATTCAACAAAGTTTAAGTATAAATTTAAACTTTATCTTCTAAACTTACAAATAATTTAGATTAATATGCAACAAATGCTGTAACTTTTTATTCTACATTATTCCATTATTAAACATTTCCTGATCTATAATCCCATACCTATATGAATTTAGTACCTCCAATAAAAATATTTTTTTGGTCTGAATAAAATGCTGTTGGATAATTTTATAATCCTAACTTCTTCTTAAGTATTTCCATTGTTCTTAATGATAAAATTTATACTATTTTAGATGATCCTACACAAAATAAATATTGATCAATTGGATTCACCAAAATTTTCATTATTCCTTCTCCATCTAATTTATAACCTTAAATTATGTCAAATTTTATTTTATTTATTCCTTTTTTATCATATATACTAATATATCCTAATTTTGTTGCCAAATATAGTTAATCATTCTCTTCATTCAATTCTAAATAGGCCACATCTGTAAATTCATTTTCATTTACTGATTGAATATTTGTTTATTATTCAAAATTAGATATATCAAACACTTTAAAGTTCTTTTTAGATAGTCCTCCTATAAATTATTTATTAATGAATATTAATTTTATTATTTCTTATTATTCTGGCATTAAATTAAACTTTTTATATTCATTTACCTCAATAACTGTCATTTATTTAGATTTATTCTCTTTCTATTATAATATTCCTACTTTATTTAATCATTTTTACCTTTTCTTTCTATTTATTCATTCACCTTACTATCCTAAATATTTTTATCAATTAATTATTCTCTCTCTTGATCTTTCTCTATATTTTTAAAAATTTTATTTTATTTAACTTTTTCGTTTATTTCATTCACTTCCTTATCATTATCTATTCTATTTATTTATTTTTCTTTTTATTTATTGAAATTTATAGGTTATACTGATGTAAACATGTTATTTGATTTAAATTTATCAAATGGTTTACTATTATTATTATCTTATTCTGTTATTCTTGAAGGAGTATTAATGAAAAAATCTTAAATATTCTTTCTCAAAACTTCATGAAAATTCAAAAATTATTCAGTAAATGTATTTGCTGCACTTTAATATTATTAAGCATAAATCTTTCCATTTTTTATATTCTATTAACTCATTTAATTAGGTTAATATCTCTTAATTACAAATGACATCTTCTCACTATTAGGTTTAAATGATTCTATTTCATCAATCAATCTCTTAAAATTTATTTAACTTGGCTCTTACTCAAACTTTTATAATAATACACTTTAATTCTTCTTTTAACTATCATCATTTAACTACTAATTCAATACTTTTTTTGCACTTATTAATATATTTTATATACTCATTTAATGCTTATTTAGTTTTATTGAATATGTCATTTATTAAATTATGGGAGTATTCCATTGTCTCTTCTATTTTTTCAAAATTTAATATCAAACTTCAATTAATTTATAATTTATACTCATTATGTTAATATTTCTATATCTCTTATTAACCCATCTAATTTATCTAATCTGAAAATTATTTAACAAATCTTTTTAATGCTATTGATTTANATCCTAATTTTGTTGCCAAATATAGTTAATCATTCTCTTCATTCAATTCTAAATAGGCCACATCTGTAAATTCATTTTCATTTACTGATTGAATATTTGTTTATTATTCAAAATTAGATATATCAAACACTTTAAAGTTCTTTTTAGATAGTCCTCCTATAAATTATTTATTAATGAATATTAATTTTATTATTTCTTATTATTCTGGCATTAAATTAAACTTTTTATATTCATTTACCTCAATAACTGTCATTTATTTAGATTTATTCTCTTTCTATTATAATATTCCTACTTTATTTAATCATTTTTACCTTTTCTTTCTATTTATTCATTCACCTTACTATCCTAAATATTTTTATCAATTAATTATTCTCTCTCTTGATCTTTCTCTATATTTTTAAAAATTTTATTTTATTTAACTTTTTCGTTTATTTCATTCACTTCCTTATCATTATCTATTCTATTTATTTATTTTTCTTTTTATTTATTGAAATTTATAGGTTATACTGATGTAAACATGTTATTTGATTTAAATTTATCAAATGGTTTACTATTATTATTATCTTATTCTGTTATTCTTGAAGGAGTATTAATGAAAAAATCTTAAATATTCTTTCTCAAAACTTCATGAAAATTCAAAAATTATTCAGTAAATGTATTTGCTGCACTTTAATATTATTAAGCATAAATCTTTCCATTTTTTATATTCTATTAACTCATTTAATTAGGTTAATATCTCTTAATTACAAATGACATCTTCTCACTATTAGGTTTAAATGATTCTATTTCATCAATCAATCTCTTAAAATTTATTTAACTTGGCTCTTACTCAAACTTTTATAATAATACACTTTAATTCTTCTTTTAACTATCATCATTTAACTACTAATTCAATACTTTTTTTGCACTTATTAATATATTTTATATACTCATTTAATGCTTATTTAGTTTTATTGAATATGTCATTTATTAAATTATGGGAGTATTCCATTGTCTCTTCTATTTTTTCAAAATTTAATATCAAACTTCAATTAATTTATAATTTATACTCATTATGTTAATATTTCTATATCTCTTATTAACCCATCTAATTTATCTAATCTGAAAATTATTTAACAAATCTTTTTAATGCTATTGATTTACAGGTTTAATGATTTTCTTTACAATAACAACATAATAATTATCGTCTATTACACTCTTCATCTATACAAACCATGTTTAAAAATTCAGATTCATGTTCTGGCTCTTCACAGGTTTAATAATTTGATCTTGTGTTTTTCATAATATTTTTTTTATTTTTTACAATTTTTCGAATGCTAAAAATTTAATAATTATCAAATTTATATATATAATTTATTATCATATTTTCGTCTCTATTCTCTTTTTTCTTTATGAATTACCATAATATATATTATTCTTAAACTTCTATTTTAAAAAATTGATATCATTTGCATTACTATAATTCCTAGCAGATGATACTAATTTAAGTTCTGGAAGAGGACAAGCTAATTTTAAAGAGATTTATTTTCTTTAAGTTTGAGGTGAAGTACTCTATAACTAGCCATTCATCTCAGTAAGACTTTAATAAGACATATAACTTTAAAAAGGATTATTATTTGATTGTTATGTTCTCTCTGTCTTTTCTTATACATAACTTTGAATTGAAGCAAAAGCTTTTTTAGATTTTCGAGATACATTTAAAACAACTTTTGGTTGAGCAGATTCAATTACTGATTATCGAATCTTTGATTTTTTTACTTCTTAAGATTATAAAAAAACAGGTTCATCAACTGGCTATTGAGATTATTGAAGCATTAACAATTAAATCTCACTATTTCTTTAATTATTAATGTTATTCTAATTTCCAATATTACGAAGTGTTGTTTAATGTTTTATTAAGATACTTGACATTCGTTTAAAAAGTGTCTTCTTTCTTTCCTTAGTTTTCTAAATCTCATTCAATAATATTTGTTATTACTGAACAGTTGTCTTTGGATATAAACAATTTAAATGCATCTAATAACAAAATCAATCAATTTGAATACTTATTTCTCTGATAATTGTTCAATCCCACTCTTGCGTCTTTATTATTTCCTTTAATACTTTATAATTTTTAGATCAAAACTTTTACTAATTCTTATTTATTCATCTTCTTAAGTTCGTATTCTTAAACTTCTTAGAATTCTCATTCTATTGATTGGTGAATCATTTTTTTTAATAGAACTAAAATGACATTGTTAATTTTGACATTAAAGTAGATCAATAACTAAATCATCATATCATATTTGTACTTTAAGCAGCATAATTTTTAGTAAGAGTTTTATTTAAGGCTTTCCTACTTCTACTTGTTGTTTATATTGAAGATTCCATTATCAAATACTTAATATTATAATTGTATAAGAAATCATCTATAAATGATTATCATTTATTGAATTACACTCAATATTCTAAACTTAACAAATTATAATCAGAAAATCTTACTTAATTTAAAACAATAATTAAATCATAACTATGAGTCTTACGATTCTATGGAAAACAGGAATATTGATTGGCAATGTAGCCTTTTTAACTGGAGGTTATGTACTTGCGAAAATGCTCTATAAAAATTATCTTAATTTGAAAAATGAATCAAAAAGATTGAAATAGGACGGATAATCAAATTATTAATATTTAGTTGATGCTTTCAAAGACAAAGTTGGAGAAGTAGTTGAAATTGAAAATTTATCTTTTATTGGAACAACATAGTAAAATTTGAATTTAATTATAGACCAATTTCTAATGATTCCTATGTGAAATCAAAAGTAAATAATAAAGAAAGGTATATTTGTGTTCAAGGTGTATTAAAGGAGTATGGCAAAAATGTAATCCAAACTTAATGGATTTAATTATTCAATTTAACAGAAAATGATCATAAAGTCATAATTTAAGTAAAGAATAAAGAATCTTTTATGCCTAATTTATTCAAAAGTTTATCAGCACATTAAGATAATTAAATTGGTGCTTAAGTTAAAGAAGCATTTAGTGTTGACGTAACAGAAAAAGGAATTGCTGTATGATAATTAAATATACTTTAGTTTGGAACAAATTTATATGTGTTTGGGAAATTCATAAAAACAAAATTAGGATAATTTAAATGTGTTGATTCAAAATTAATATGTGATGCAAAAGATGCAGCATCATAAACTTAAACTTATTCTTATGCCTTTTTAGTTGGAGCATCTTGTGTAGTAGCGTTTTCTTTAATAATTTCTGGAATATGTCTATATTTTACTTTTGGTGATGATCAAAAAAATACTCAAAAATAGAAAAAAGCTATAAAAGGATGATTTAGTTATTCTAAAATAAATTATATAAAATTATTATTATATTAAAAATGACTAGATTAATAAATTTTATAGGATCCTTTAAATATATCTATATATAATTATTTTTATCAATAAATAATCTAATATAATAAATAAAAACATATTGAAATTGTTCATCAATAAAATAATTATAATATTTTATAATAAAATTTAGAAAAAATTATTAAATATATGATGAATACGATTAAATTATTCAAATATTTAACTCGGTATTTGTCGAATTAAAAAGAATTGACAAATCCAACTCTACTTTGGTGTTTCTTTTGATGATAACCAACTTTTTTAAATCATTAAGTTTAATATGCTTAGACAGAGGATGATAATAGAAGTTTTGATCCTCTTTTTAATTGGTTGTTATTTCTAATTAAGATATCTTGCAAAGTAGTTTGTTGATTTCTTTATTATTCCAATCTGAGGATATAGCATATTTGGTTCCAGGAATTGATTTAGTTTCTAAAAATGAATAAATTATAGTACCTATGTTATTAGCACTAGATATTAATTTTTTAAATCTATGTTTTAAAGAAAATTCAGTTCGTTTTTTATTATTATTAATAGGTGATAATCGAATAGATAACTCTGCCCATCTTCTTCCATGTTATAAAAGAAGTTAAAGGAAGAGAAGATCTTCCTTATCTGTCCATTCATCACTTAAAATAATAAAAATTTTAAATTACCGATTTATAGATGGATCTAATTTATTTCCCCAACGTTCTCTACATTGTTTAGGAGTACGAATACATTTGTTAAGACATCTTTCATTTAGTTCTCGTGCTATTTTACTCCATTTATTTCCCTTCTTCATCTTTTGAAAGGACCTACTTTATAGTATAAATTATTACAAAATAATGTCTAATAGTAGTTTATCTTCATTCTCAGACCATGGATTATTATAAGCAGATTGATGTATAAATTATTAACATATTTAAGACCATTCAAATGGAGTTTTTTGGGTTGGCATTAGTTCACTAATATGAATCCATTATTCTTCATTCTATGGCTTATCGTTTTTTATTTTACTAATTTTAAGTGTAAGGGAGCTCGCATATTTAAGAGAATGCATTGTAAGAAGATCATCTCTTTCGTCTCACGCTCCTATGTACTTTAGCCTAATAAATCAAAGTAAATAGATTCTAATATTTTGAGGCTTGGAATATTATTAAAAAGGAGCCTCCATTTTTTCTTGTAAGGTTTTAAATCTATGGTTTGAATTTGTAGAAAGTTAAGTTTTTAATTCAGGGGATGGGATGATTCATCTGTCGATTGTTAATTAGATTGAATATGAAGGAAGCTCATATTCGTAATATATTTTCAATAATCAAATTTATCGCTATGGAATTGAGAGTATATAAAGCCCAAAAATTTACATATCTTTCTCATTTTTAATCGAATTTTATACTATAAATATTTTAATTGTTTGATATCATATTTTGATCAAACACCCATTCTTAATAATCACTAAGCAAAACTCATGATCAGAACATAAAAATTCACAAAAAGAAAATTTTTGAGTCTGACACATTCTTGATTTTTCTTAGAGAAGATCAATTTTATATCGAATCATTTCAGCTTCTTGAATGTTCCAAGAAGGACAAAATTTGATATCACATTTTGCTTTAGGTTTTGAACCTTTACTATATAAAATATAAGTACCATAATATTTTTTGAGTTATTTGAACTTATGTTTTAAGGCAAATTCAGTTCTTCTTTTATATTTAGTAATAATTGATAATTTTGTAGATATCTCAGCCCATTTACGACCATTCTGAAGTAGCAATTATAGAAAGTTTAACTCTTCAGATTTCGACCATGGTTCTCTTTAATGTTTTATAAACTATTAAAATTACCTATTAATTTATGGATCTAATTTGTTGTTCCATCTTTCGCGACATTATTTTGCATTCCTTAATACTTCAGATTTACAGATATGATTATATTAATTAGCAATTGAACTCCATTTCTTTTTACAACGACTTGGATAGTCTCTAAAGTAGATGGAATAAATATTACAAAATTATTTATTGCAATGTTTAATCTTCGAAATAAGACCAGGGCTGTCTTGGTAGTAATGCTTTATAGAAAGATTAGAATTTAAAGCATAATTCTGACAGACTCCTATATTTTGGCATTAGCTTCTACACTTTTTCCCAATCAAATCGATTCTATATATTTTTAATTGCTAATACCTTAATACATTTTGGATTCAGACTCAAAACTATAAGTTATAAGAAAAGCTCTTCATTTAGATTCCATGTATCCTTTGATTCAGTTTTAGAAGACTCATAAAGTTTGATAAAGTCATTAAAATTAGGTAAAGTTTTGAAAAGTAATTACAGCTTGGAAGATAAATATTCTGTTTCAATGAGTTAGAGATTCTAATAAATTAAAGCCCAATCATTAAGATCTGTTTATGAGCTTTGTGAAGAATTCATTTTGTTTTTTATAAGATTAATATTGTTTATCTAAAATCTTGACTAGCCTTTTAAAGGCCAGAAATTTAATCAAATTAGCAGATTTAAACTATTATCACTTCTACTTAAAATTAGCACTTTATTTACACAGCCTTGACTTAATCATACCTATATTCTTTAAGAATTTTTTTTATTATCAAATCTATATTACAAACAACACATCAAAATTTAATTTTTCTGCGATAAAAAATCAAGTAAAAATGCTTTGAAATAAAAAAAATTACAAACCTATACTCACAATATTTTAAATATATTCATAATCATATATATTTTTGATCACTAGAAAAATTATTAAAACATCATCAAATCATCTATTCTATTTTCATATCTAATCAAATATGTAGATTTTCTTACTAAATTCTTTTTCTTTTTAAATCCTTCTACAATTTTTGTTAATGCCACTAAAAACTCGAATGAAATACTCTTTCTAAATTTAAAACATCGATTTACCTTTTTATATAAAAATAGTGCTAATATTATTTTAAATAAATCTATTGCTTCAAATTTTTTTAAGATCCAGAAGGACCACTGATCTAATTATCAAGTTTCTTTAATTCTTCATATAAATACTTATCCTATTACAAATGAAAAGCCTCTATAAATAAGCAATTCCATTCCTGTTATTTGAAATTTTGAAGATTTGCTATTATTATCAATAAATCAATAAACTATTATTTGACTATTCCTCTAGGAATCATACTTTATTTATCATTAATCTTAGAGGATTGTTTAGAAGATATTGAAGCATTTTATTTAATTAATATTTTTCAATTACTTATAGATGTCTTTGATTGAAGAAATAATTTTATGCTTAGATATCAAAATTTGCATTTTGATTAATTTCATCCACTAAAATTACCAATTATGAGAAAAAAACTTAATAAATAAAATTTATTATTATTTTAAATCCTGTTTTTTAATATAGAATTTGAGATGGTTCTGAAGTCTTAGATCAATTAAAATTAATCATTTTATTTTATTTTTATATTTTTTGAATGATTTTTTGTTATCTTTACTAACACACTAAAAACCTTATCAATAATCTTTAAGTCTCTTCTAATATTTAAAAAACATATTATAGAGATTTTGTTTTAAATTTCATTTTGATAATATATTTTACTTTTTAATATATTTTACTTTTTATAATAAATTATAGTTTTTAAGTAAAAATTAATCATAATAACATCCATAAGTTAATAATTAAGTTTGAATTACGGTAAAATCGAATTGATTAATTTATCAATATATACAAATACAATCAGTTAGATTAAATTCAATAAATATTGTATTATTCAGAAGAACTTATATTCTATTTCAGATTAAAACTTGGGACTTTACTATAAATTTAATAAAATTTACATAATCTTACTAAAGGCATAACACATTGAACCTTAATTCTTTAATGTATAATTATGCGACTCAAATCTTAAAAAAAAAACAAAACTATTTTAAGTATAGAATTAATTTCATTATTACTATTTATATATTCTATTTAATATTTATCAGAACTTATAGTAAAATGATATACTTATTGAAATAAAGAATTCTAGAACATTGATAAAAAAACTGTAATAAATTAATAATTTAATTAGTAAAGGATCATCTTAATAACTTCTTTTTGATCAAATTAAATTACCCATTTAGATGATCGACTTTTTTCAGTACTTTATCTTAAAGGATCAATTCCCATTAATTTAATAACCTATTTATATAATTATAAAATTTTACTAAAAAATTTCTTGATTAACTTCTGGATTTTGGGAATTTATATTCTCTTATATATTTAAACAGACATAATCATTTAATTTTTCAATTAAAGGTTAAAATATTATTTCTGTATACTCCTGAATATAATCAAAATATAGAAGAATTTTTTAAGCAACTTCAAAATTTGAAGCAATATTTAAATTTTGTATACTATGTATCATTTTAGACACAACTTAAGTTGATAAAATTTAATTCCATTGGATATCTTAAAATTTAGACCAGGGTATTAGTATATTTAAACCAAAATCAGGTTAATCTTCTAAGTCTATATTTAATAACTTGAGTGTCAATTCATGATATAATTCTTGAATTTTAAATTATGATTCAATCCAAGGTAAGATAATTTTATGAAGTTAAAAAGAATCATTAATATTCCAATTAACAATTAATTGTTTTAATTTCGGAATTATGATATTACAAAGATTTTAAATAGTTTTTTAATTAAAGAGTTTTAACTTTTAAAGATATTCATCTTGATCTTCTTCAATTTCTATTTTTGTTACATCAGTATGCCATAATGTAAGCATTTAAAATAATAAATTGTCTAAACATGGATTATATTATGAGTGAATATAATTTTCTAATTTTGATTTAATAGGATTAATAAAAATGTCTATAATATTTTAAAGATGTAAGTAATCATTTTTTGTGATTAAATTATCAATCACAAGAATTTGTGATTTCTTGTGATTTTATACAATGACCAATGATTTTTAATGAACAAAAACATCCTTTACTAAGTTAATAATTTTAAAAATTAGATTAAATTCATTTTCAAGAATATTTGTAATAGGTCCTTCCCAACTTTAAATCATTTATTTAATTTCTTCTACTCCTTATTTAATTAATACCTCAATAAGATTAAATTAAATAAATAGATCTGGATGTTTTATAAAGCATTCTTTAAATTTTTCAAACAAAGGAAAAGGTTCATTTGATATTTAAACTTCATCATCTTAAAAAAAGAGAAGATATTTTTAAAATGATTCTTTTCTTCTTATACTTTCTGATTATTTTTCTAATTAATGTAGTGTTTTTTCTTATTCAAAATCTAGAGTAATAATTTTTTTTCTTTATTATTGAATAATTTATTCATTAATCTAATATTTACTTAATTTAGTAATTAATAAATGTTGAACAGATTAAGTAATTTCTGAAACTTCAGCCAAATATTGTTGAATAATATTAGCTTTAGTATCAAATGAATTGGATAATTATTAATTATTATAATAATCCTTTTAATTTTTCTTTCTCCAAATTTTATCCATTTTTTTCATTGTTTTTGTTTCTTGAGGTTGATCAAATTACCAAATTTATTCTTCATCATAATTTTTATTTTGATTAGATTATGAACCTGTGAATACTTATTTTTTAATAGGAATAAGAGGTTCTAAAATACCTTATCTATTTATTCCTAAACCTTCACCATATTTAAATCCTAATTTTTAAAGTAATTGTAATCCAACACCATAATCATGTTCTTTAACTTTTTTTTCTAGATTTCTAATTTCTTTAAAACTTAAATTTTTGTTTTAATAATCTTCTTCATCATCTTCTGCTTCATGTTTAAATTATTATGTTTATTTCTTCATTATGCTCTTTGGTTATTACCCAAAATCTTTTACTATTATTTCAATAAAAGATAGTTATTCTTCAATTTCATCATCTTCTTCTTCAGAAGTAGAATCAAATCTATTTTACATTGCATATTGTTGAATATTTCTTTATAAATTAAATCTTTCATTTAAAGTTAAATATTCATTAGGATGTTTGATAATTTAATAGACATAATTATTTTGAAGATTAAATTAGACTGATTTCACTTTATTTATTTAATAATCTTTATCCATTTCTTAATATATATTATTATTGTTGACCATTTTTATTTTTACTCCTTTCTCTACTTAAGAGAATAGAGGAGAATGATACTTTATAAAGTTACTAAAAGCTTAGTTTTTACGATGCTCTTTATAAATTTCTTATAATTTTGTTGAAGGATTCTCTTCTTTATTTTGTATACCAGTTTCATTTAGAAGATTTTATTATTGATATTTCTGATTTTCTTTCTATTGTATTTACTGTGGTTATTCTATATCAAATTACAATAATGATGAGTTTTAATAATTCATCAATAAAAATTATTATAAATAATAAAAATTGTATTCTTTTTTCTTTTCTAATTCTAAATGAAATTAAATTTCCATTTTGACTTGTTTAATAGAATAAAAGGGATAAAACAATTTTAGTTTAATCAAGAAATTGGTTAATAAAAAAAAAGTAATTTAAATGTTTAATAGTTAATAAGTTGTTAATTAATTTAAATTATGAAGAAGAAACTTTACAAATTGTCATTGTTTAAAGAGATTGATGAATTTAATTAAAAAGATAGTGATGGACATTAAAGTGATGATTCCTAAACATTTGATGATTTCTTAAACACTACTTTTGAGGCATATGGTAATAAATATGATTATTAGATTTAGAATCTTAAATATTTATAAGTAGCAATCAAACTCCTATTCATTCTGAGCAATTATAATTTATTTAAGGAGTTTTTGATAAATCTGAAGAAAGTGAGTAATCTTTTGATTTCAATATTACAAATGTATGCATTTATTCAAGCATTTATTATAGATTGAAGGAGATAATAGAACAACTTTAATGATGAGAAACATTCCTTAAAATTATACTAAAGAGATGCTCATGATGGAAATTGATCCAAAATTCAAAAACAAATTTGATTATTTTAATTTCCCATATGATGGAAATGCTAATCCTGGTTATGCATTTATCAATCTAAAATCTAAAACATATCTAAAAGATTTTTATAATTATTTTAATGGTAGAAAATGGAAGATTAATCCATTAAATAAAGTAATATATTTTAATTATCATATTTTAGCCTTGTTTTTTAAAATATGCCAAAATATAGCATAAGAAATTTAAATAAATAAACCCATAAATATATTTATAACAAACTAGTGTTATTAAACTTATTTAAAGTTAGAAATTATAATGCAGTTTGTGAATTAAATAATTACTTTTCTCATAATTATGAATCATTTTATTTCAAATTTTTATTTATATAAAACAATCTAATATGTATAATTAATATAAATTGCTATCAATATTACAATTAATTAATAGTAAAAAAGTAAACAATGTGTATGTTATTTATATATAATAATAATTAATTATATTTTAATATAATATTAAATTTATGATAACAGAGAAATCTACACTTGTATTTTCAGAGAAAAACAGTATTTTTGAATTTCATAACAGTTCACCAATAGCCAATAACAGGTATAAGTGCATCCAAACAAAATGATAATCTCTTTCTCACCATATCCGAGGATTCAACAATGCGATTATATGATTTGAGATTGTAATCATCTGTTAAATTATTCAATATGGGTAAAGTAGACGAATGTTAAACTGCAAATTGTCTACTCTCTGATACTCAAGTATATGGAGCTAGAAATAATGAAGTAATTTAATTAATACTATTTCAGATTTAATTATTTGATATTAGATAAGACATTATTATCAAGGCTTGTAATTAAAAATCAGAAAATGTGAGTGAAATAAATTAAATAACTTTTGATCCTCAATAATAACTTATTTCTGCTAATTTTGATTCGTATTATATTATTCTCTATTATAAGTGGTTCTACGTCTATTTTTGATAGATAATTAAATCATAGATCTACTCTTAAAGAAGGACATGATAATGTTAGTATTATTTCAATATTCTATTTAGATTTGTTTTAGTGGAGATTTTATTTAAGATGATGGAGAATAATTATATGTTTCTACAGGATTTGATTATAAAATTATTCTATGGGATTATTCACATTACCATTAAATATAAGAATAACCAATACTCTAATAGGAATCTAAAGCTAAAATCTTATTTAAATTTGATTTAAGTACTTAAATTCATTTTTAATTAAGGCACAATTCATCAATAGTATGCACCTCTAACTGTCTCACCTCCTGTTATTTATTCTGCAATTAGCAAAGATAATATGATATTAATTTCAACTGAAACTGGATAAGTCTATTGTTTTAAAGTTTAATAACTAAAAAGAAAGAAAAATAAAAAACCCCCCATTCCTGAATTTGTTATTGATGCTCATTAAAGTAAAGTAATGAGATCAGCATATTTAAATGATNAGAAATTATAATGCAGTTTGTGAATTAAATAATTACTTTTCTCATAATTATGAATCATTTTATTTCAAATTTTTATTTATATAAAACAATCTAATATGTATAATTAATATAAATTGCTATCAATATTACAATTAATTAATAGTAAAAAAGTAAACAATGTGTATGTTATTTATATATAATAATAATTAATTATATTTTAATATAATATTAAATTTATGATAACAGAGAAATCTACACTTGTATTTTCAGAGAAAAACAGTATTTTTGAATTTCATAACAGTTCACCAATAGCCAATAACAGGTATAAGTGCATCCAAACAAAATGATAATCTCTTTCTCACCATATCCGAGGATTCAACAATGCGATTATATGATTTGAGATTGTAATCATCTGTTAAATTATTCAATATGGGTAAAGTAGACGAATGTTAAACTGCAAATTGTCTACTCTCTGATACTCAAGTATATGGAGCTAGAAATAATGAAGTAATTTAATTAATACTATTTCAGATTTAATTATTTGATATTAGATAAGACATTATTATCAAGGCTTGTAATTAAAAATCAGAAAATGTGAGTGAAATAAATTAAATAACTTTTGATCCTCAATAATAACTTATTTCTGCTAATTTTGATTCGTATTATATTATTCTCTATTATAAGTGGTTCTACGTCTATTTTTGATAGATAATTAAATCATAGATCTACTCTTAAAGAAGGACATGATAATGTTAGTATTATTTCAATATTCTATTTAGATTTGTTTTAGTGGAGATTTTATTTAAGATGATGGAGAATAATTATATGTTTCTACAGGATTTGATTATAAAATTATTCTATGGGATTATTCACATTACCATTAAATATAAGAATAACCAATACTCTAATAGGAATCTAAAGCTAAAATCTTATTTAAATTTGATTTAAGTACTTAAATTCATTTTTAATTAAGGCACAATTCATCAATAGTATGCACCTCTAACTGTCTCACCTCCTGTTATTTATTCTGCAATTAGCAAAGATAATATGATATTAATTTCAACTGAAACTGGATAAGTCTATTGTTTTAAAGTTTAATAACTAAAAAGAAAGAAAAATAAAAAACCCCCCATTCCTGAATTTGTTATTGATGCTCATTAAAGTAAAGTAATGAGATCAGCATATTTAAATGATAAAATAATTACAATTTCAAATGATTAGACATTTGCTATATGGAATCAAAATGTTTAGGTTTTAAGAGCCAAAATTAAAAATAAACCAAATTGGATAGAAACTATAGGAAATAACACTGTTCTTGTCAGTGATATTTCTAATAAATTATCGATATTTGAAATAGTTTGAAAATACGTGTTTATTTTTGAATGTTTAGATACTCAATTTAATTGAAGTCTTTCTCTTAGATATTCTTTAAGAGTTACGATCTTATCTTAAATATGATCTGATATTCTAGAAATTAAATCTTAGCTCTAAACTCTTGATTGAGTTTCCATTTAATAAATGTCTTATTATTATCTGCACCATTAATCTTATCCTTCTAAATTACTCTATTATTTAAATTAGTTATTACTTAGTTTCTTTCAACTTCAGCAGCATGATATTCAACTTTGCCTTCTGATTCTTCAATTATACTTTAATAATTTAAGATAGCTTATTCTAAATTCTATCTTTGATCAGATCTAATATTGATATAAATAATCGAATATACAATGTATTTTTCTCATTTGTTAAATCAGACAAGAATTATTACCAATTAAGACTTTATTATTTTTCAATTGATTCATCATTTCCTTTGCTTTCAACAATTTAGACTCTTAAATTGGCCAACAATTGTAATACTTTCTTAGCTGTGTCTGAATCTGATTTTGATGATAATTATGTCATCATTGTAAGTATTGGTTAGAATAATAATCCAGTTGATTAACTAATAGTTTAAGATTATAGATTTACTTCTATAATCTCTATAAGACTTTATTGAATCTTCCTTTAACTTAAATGAATGATGAACCACTAGATAAATGTTCAATAAGTGCATATGCTTCATCAATTGCAGCTATGGCTTCTGTATGATCTTTTATTTTTGATTAAAATTCAGCATATTATAAATCTCTTTCGCTCTATCCTGCATTTGTTTTTTTGGTATTCTCCTCAATTTCCACTGAAACTTCTGCAATCTTATTTAGAGATCTTTATAGATTATTTGTATTTTCCTATTTATTAATCAATTATAAACCTCAACTATTTTCTAATGAGCTTTTAATTAACTCTAATGATAAGCTAAATTTGTTGAAAAATCATGTAATAATCTATTGCATGATGCCTATGTACTTTAAATATAAAGATCAGCATCCTTTTATTCTTATTCTAACATAAATCTACAATCAAGGTTATTATATACCTTATATTGTTTATGTAGCTCTGAATTTCATGTACAGGCGAACCTGTTGCCAAACTAATTTGGATTGCATTCAAGAATGTTTTACCCATATGATGATCATCAATTTCTGCTAACACAATCTTTGGATCTGTGCCCATTTTACATAATGCCTATCATCATGTATTAAATAATACAATGCTCAATAGAACTAATAACAAAATTCTCATTTTATATTAATATTAAAAACGAATACAAATTATAATTATTATCTTTTCTCATTTATATCCATGTGATAATACTCTCCAAAATTACTATTTATAAACAAACATTTTCATAATCATTATTTATATAATTTTATATTCAATTTAATTCACACTCTATTTTTAAGATATTTAATTAAATTGAAATATTAATAGATGTTTATTAAATTTCTAATAAATAACTGGTACTGTTATTACTAAATGTTAATAAACCATCTATATAATTTACATATTTCTTAAACTATATATATGTTAAGAAATTAAATTGTCATATCTAAAGATATTTATAGATAATGAGACTGATTTTTAAAATGTTTTAATTAAAGTTAATAAAAATGAAAGAATAAACAAATAAATAATTTATTTGATTAAAAATAATGAAGTAAGGAAGGTTAATAAATAAATAGTATTTAATATTAATTAAAATGAGATTAACCAGCGACGTTTGATTTGTAATTAATTTTAGAATAGAGTAAATGAGAATATGATGAGATTATAATAGAAAGTATTTGTAAATATATTTTAATAAGTTGGAATATTTATAATATTATAATAATCCGTTTTAATGAGAAGAGTGATTTTGATAGTTATTTTGATAGGTATAGCTCAATCAGCTCAACATTTAAGACAAAATAAGAGCCGTATATTGAATGGATAAAAATTAGCTATGGTAGAAAAATAAGTTTAATACATTGATGATGATGTTTAATTAAATGGAGAACAAGAAGTTGAATAATCAGGGTTTTAGGAAATAAATGTTCATGAATAAAAATTAATAGAATAAGAGGAGGAAGCAGTAATATAAATAGATGAAGAACAAACATTAAGTGCAGAATAAATGGAAGAATTAGATAGAAAAGAATAGGAAGAATATGAAAGAATGAAGAGATAAAGACTTGAAGAATAACATTTAAATGATGAAGATACTTATATGTAAAGTTAGGTAGATGAAAGAAAATCAAATAATATATATATAGCAGAAAGTGAAATGCCAGTAGATGTAGTTGAACATTAATTAACTCCTGTTATATAAAAGGATCCGATACCTGATTAAAAAGGTGTAGTTTCTCCATTTGCTCCAGCTGATAACAGTTTACCATATTCATCATATGATAGTGAAAGTGGATTTGAAGTTAAAGAAAGTGATATCAGAATGTAAGGATCAATCAATCCAAATGATATGGATTAATATTTACAAGAATAATACAGAAAAGAGATGGAGTAATTTGCAAATTTCCATATTTGAAAATATAATATAATTATTCAAATAATTCAATCTGAACCATCTACTAATTTATGGATAATCAATAATATTATTACTGAATAGTTCTATTCAAATATTCTTTCATTTCTTTTTTTTGCAATATTCTTATCCCTGTAAATCTCTGATTTATCTTATATCTTTTTAATCCATAGTTGATTAATTAAACACTTATTCTGGCACTAATCTTTTCAATTAATCAAATTATAACATAATTTTACATTAAATCTTTCCCTATTGATGAGATTAAATTACAAGTAATACGATAACCATTTAATCTTTACACTTCTAAATTTAATCTATCATTTAATTAAATAATATGTATTAAATAGTAACTTAACATTATATATAATATTACTCCTACACTCCATAAATCAACTTATTCATTAGTTTTAATCATAATAATGTATTTTAATTATATAAATTACTTAAAATATCTTAAGAGCTGTTTTTCTTTATAATTCTCATAAAATTTATTAAAATAATTATTTTTTATTTTTAACCCTTCATTCTAATTCAATATTTATTAGACTTAAAATTTCTTAAATTTCCCTTTTCTTAATTTTTATTTGCATTTTTAGGAATATATGAAATAATAAAAAATTGGTCTTTCTTTTCTAATTTTATACATCGATTAATTAATTAGTTTCTTTTTAAATTAGTATAGGTGTAAATTGTAATTTAGATGATAAAATTTACTTTTTGTTCGATTCTTTAGCTAAATAAAAATAACAAATTATGATTTCTCCATATAATTTATTAAAATCCAACCAATTATAGCTATATGATTAAAAACATTTTAAAATACTGAAATTATACAACATAGTTCAATTATATCAAGTTAGTATAAAAGAAATATGCAATTATCAGTATTGAAGAGAATATAAATTTAAATGAAAAAGTGATTAAGAAATTTAATTATATTTTTCAACAAAATAAATATGTCAGGGTATGATCTTAATCGATTTCATCCTTAACCTCCAGCACATTTACTATGCTTAATTTGCAATAAAGTAGTGAAAGACCCTCTAGAATGTGATTCTTGTGGTTAAATGTACTGTAATGAATGTGTGGCACGAAAACCTTAATGCAAAAGTCAAGATTGTCCTAAATAAGGAGCTCCTCCATAATATGTTAAAATCTAAGGAGCTATGCTTAAAGTCTATAAAAATTTAATGCTTTTTTGTGCAAATCCTGAATGCAAGAAATTACTCTCAATTGTTGATATTGAATAACATTAGAGTACTTGTCTAAAGTAAAAATGCTTAAATAATGATTTATGCAAAGAATTTATAGAAAAGGATGATTAAAAGTAAATTCTATTAAGTAATCTTAGATTTTGTAGCATTATTTGTGAGTTGACTTTTTAATTATATGATGCTTAAAATGACCCTAAAAAATAATTTGATATTATTAAGAGATATGTACCTAAATTAACATCAACAAATTCTCAACCATCATCCTTTTAAATAATGCCATCTCAATCAATTCAAAATATTCAACCTATTTCTAATGGAGATGGAGTATTTTTTAAATGGGATAAAAATAAATGTGGATAAGGTATATAATTAACAAATGGAGATGTTTGTGTGTTCCTTAAAGAAAGCTCATATATATTTAGAACAGTTTTAGGAGATCACGTACATCTATATTTTATTAAATTAGGGATTTGAAAGTGGTATTCATTATTGGGAAATAGAAGCAGATAGTAGAACAGAAAATGAATTAAAAATAGGGGTTTGTTAAGGTAATACTATAAATTTAAATGCTGCCTTTTGTGATTTAAATTAAGGGTTTGCATATTATGGATTAGCATAATTAAGAAATGGAAGTAATGCATCAGGCTAAACCTATGGTAAAAGATTTAAAAAAGAAGGAACACTTGGTGTATGTCTTAATATGAATAATGGTAATTTAAATTTTAATTTTTATTAGGCACTCTCTCCTTTTCATTAAATGGTGAATATATGGGTATAGCCTTTAGATCAGATCTACTTAAAAAAGGTCCCATCTATGCTGCAGTAGCATTGCTACATTGTGCTGGTTGCACTATTAAAACTGGTAAATAAAAACCTGCTTATATGGAATGATATTTATTTAACTATATTTTAATTGTCAATCTTAAATGTATTTCAAAAAATATATATCTTTCATACATATTAAATTTCAAGGTTTGCAGATTTAACATTTAGTTAATTATGATTATTCTGCCTCATGTCTTGTTATCATTTTAGATTTAAATTTCTTTACATTTTCACAGTTTAAACGGTGATATCTATTACCATTCTACATTCTAAATACCATTCCTTCAGGTGCTTATTATAATGTTTAAATTTAATATTCTTATATTTCTTATTGATTTGGTTTATTTTATTACAAGAAAACTTATTATTGTAGTTATGCTTAATTTTATTATTATTATTATTATGATACTAATATTTACTATTGATAATTCTAAATTTATGCTAATTATTCTAATTTTTACTATTAATTCTTTTTAACATTTTCTATCTCTTTTAATTTCAATGCAGTCTTTTCTATCACTTAATTTGCAGATCTTTAAGTCTCTTCTAAAATTGTTATTAAATTCCTAAATTTCGATTCTATTTCATTAATATTTTAATTTTAAATTGACAAGTTTTTATCATTATCAGTCTGCTATTAAGTTAATTTGCCTTCGCATTCCTAAATCTTTTTTTCAAGTTCCTTTATTTTCCCCCAAATTTTATCAAACCTATCCACCAAATATGCCTCCACTACTTCCTTGATTTCTTCTTTTGTCATTTAATTTAATTAATTATTTTTTCTTATTCTAATATTTTATAAATACCAGAAAATATTATCCATAACTATTATATGAAACGATTCCATCCAAAAATAAAATAAATATTTTCTTCGATGATTTTAAAATCATTTAAACCTTAATGTTAAAATACAAACTTAACTTAGTAAGTATAAGTTATAAATAGTATTTATAGAATATAGAATTCAATTTTTAATATATTGGATTAATTAATATAAAATATTAAAGAAATGAATTTCATATTTTCTACATGGATATATATTTTATTAATAAAATGAATAAATTAATATTGTCAATATTATTTACTTTTGTGTTGCTTGCTTATGTTATCATAGATATTGTATATAATGATGAAATTTGGGATGCTAGCAAATAATTAGCAATATCAATGTAATAAACAACACCTTTTTTTGAACGATTGGTATATGAATTTTTTACATACATTGTTTTTATTCCACCAATAGCAGCATTTTATTGCTTCGTTTATGATAATAATAAATTAAACTCCTTACTTTATTTGAGTGTAGTTGTAGTAAGTGTAACAACAAATGAAATTTTAAAGAATATCTACCATTAAGCAAGACCATATATGATTGAACCAGATATTAAGAGGTATATATAAAAATAGAGTTTTAGTTTGAAATGTAACTCAGATTATGGGAAGCCTTCAGGACATTCTCAAAATTCTATGGTTATGCTAATTTTAATGCCAGCAATTCTATTCCCATCATTAAAATAGTTATAAAGGCAAAAAGTTTAAGTTGAATTTTAAGAATGTATGCATTGAAATGAAATTTTAGAATTTGAAAATAGTGGAAATTTCACAGGATACACAATACCAAATTTGGAGAATTCAGATCTTGGGGTAATAATTATGAGAATATTTAGTTAAGAATAGCAAATTATAAGATAGCAAAAATGTACAATCAAAATGTAAAATTGTAATGAAATTAATACTAATTATTTTCATTCTTTTAAGTATTGTGATGACTGGATTATCTAGAATATTTCTCGGAGTACATTCAATAGGATAAGTTTTGCTTGGTTGGGTATGGGGTCTATACATAACTTTAATGTATATTTTTATAATACATTCATCATTAAGAGAGTATTTAATATATAAATATAAATATAGTTATATAATAAGATAGTTAACACCCAAAAAAAGTGGTTTAGAATAAATGAATCATTTTATTCCTATATCCTTTTTAATGTTGTTAGCATTATTAGGATTATCAATAGGGTTGTTAAAATTAAATTCTTTAGTTTATTATGATGATTTAGAAATGGATAAATGGATTCAAAGAATAAATGAATGCTAATCTACAAATTACACAAGAGTTTCTCCATAAATATTATATAATTCTTGTTTGTAATTTACAGGAATAGGAGCTATGATAACAGGACTGTTAGTTGGTGCTGTTTTAGTTTAAGGTACTTATGAAGAAGGACTCTTTAATAAATGGAAATCAAAGATTCCAATGTAATAACAGATGAAGAGAATATTATTATTATTGCTTCCTTTTTTATTTTTGATACCATTCTTATTTATTGCATCTAACAATGTAATAATTGAATTTACATGCAAAGTATTGATGCTCTATATTTTTTTAGATAGTTCCACTATCTTTTGGGGCAGGATTTATTATAAATGGAGTTTATCCATATCTTTTAAGAAGATTTAATTTACAAATTCCTGGAGACTTTCTTTTTTTATATAAAAGAAGATCATTTCAAAATGATCAAAGTTACGATAGTCTATAGAAGCACATGTTAAGTGAAACGTAATAAAATGATCTTTGATTAATATAATTAAATTTAAATGGACGCTGAAGTCACCATCTTTGATAAAATCGTAGCAGGCTAGATAAAAGCAAACATTGTTTACTAAGATGATTTAGTAATATTAGTGTTTATATTTAGTGTTTAGCATTTCATGATGTAAACCCATAAGCACCTGTTCATATTCTATTGATTCCAAAACAAAGAAATGGATTAAGTTAATTATCAAAAGCTTAAGAACATAATAAAGAAATCTTAGGTCATTTATTGTTTACAGTGACAAAAATAGTAGAATTAGTAGATGAACTTAAGAATGGATTCAGAATTGTTATTAATGATGGAGAGAATGGAGGTTAAAGTGTTTGGCATTTACATATACATATAATTGGAGGTGAATAATTAACATGGCCACCAGGATCAAGTGGAAACTAAAAGAAATGAGAATGATTAATATAATAATAATATTAATATATTTAATGAATCAGAATCTTAACACTCTGTCTTAAACATACAACATTTCATATCTTGTATTATAATCCATATCTCCTGATGGTTTACAAGCCAAATCCCAATATGATGTATTAAATACCTATTATGTATTAAATATTATTTAAATACTTAACAAGGATCTCCTAATAAAAATGTATTCCATATTATAATGTAAGCAAATAACACCCAACCACTTCTATACATTAAATTCATAGCAATCACATGCATTTTATATGTATAACTGTGATCCTCTTCCATTCCAATGCTATCACCTGCTTATCTCAATACTAATGTTTTGAATAATCCCCTTTTATTTTTAATATTAAATTTACTATCTTCCTAGTCCATGATAATATCCAGTCTAATATGTAGCCAATAATTTTGGATCAAATCTATTAATATATTAATAATAAGCATGTTTTGAACAAGTTTTGTAAAATCTCTTCTCCATTTTTATTATTATATATTAATTTATTATATGATAATCAATCCTTCTTTTTCTTTCTTTCTTTCTTACTTAAATTACTCTTATTATCACTTACTTTATTTTCTATTGCTTTTCCACTATCATTTTTATTCTATATTGTTTCTTCATCTTTCAAATCCTTCTCCCCCCAATACCAAGCCAATATTTCATAAAGAGTTCTTACACCACCTATTAATAATGGACCAATCAATAATCCTTACCATTAAAATGAAATATATCCCAATATTACAGACATTGCACTCCAATATGCATCTCCTAATTACTATTTAAAAGTATTCAAATATATTGAACCAGATGAAAAATAAAATCCTATACCAAATATTATAGTTAATCCATCATTTATACAAAATTCATGAACTGAATCTTTTATAAATCCAGCAAACCACCATATTGCTGTTATCAAAATAAATGTGAATCCTGGATCAACTATCTATGTTAATGATAATAATCCTATTAAAAGACTTTAAATAAAAGCCAACTTTATTTATAAGATATCCAAAAATATATATGATAACATAAAATGTTACATAAATATTGTAAACAAAGATATAAATACACCTGTTATATGTTTACTTATATTTTAAACTAATGCCCCCTTAAATGAATTTTTCTATTCCTTTACACTCACTATATCATAAAATTAAGACTCTGTCAATAAGNTAAAGTGTTTGGCATTTACATATACATATAATTGGAGGTGAATAATTAACATGGCCACCAGGATCAAGTGGAAACTAAAAGAAATGAGAATGATTAATATAATAATAATATTAATATATTTAATGAATCAGAATCTTAACACTCTGTCTTAAACATACAACATTTCATATCTTGTATTATAATCCATATCTCCTGATGGTTTACAAGCCAAATCCCAATATGATGTATTAAATACCTATTATGTATTAAATATTATTTAAATACTTAACAAGGATCTCCTAATAAAAATGTATTCCATATTATAATGTAAGCAAATAACACCCAACCACTTCTATACATTAAATTCATAGCAATCACATGCATTTTATATGTATAACTGTGATCCTCTTCCATTCCAATGCTATCACCTGCTTATCTCAATACTAATGTTTTGAATAATCCCCTTTTATTTTTAATATTAAATTTACTATCTTCCTAGTCCATGATAATATCCAGTCTAATATGTAGCCAATAATTTTGGATCAAATCTATTAATATATTAATAATAAGCATGTTTTGAACAAGTTTTGTAAAATCTCTTCTCCATTTTTATTATTATATATTAATTTATTATATGATAATCAATCCTTCTTTTTCTTTCTTTCTTTCTTACTTAAATTACTCTTATTATCACTTACTTTATTTTCTATTGCTTTTCCACTATCATTTTTATTCTATATTGTTTCTTCATCTTTCAAATCCTTCTCCCCCCAATACCAAGCCAATATTTCATAAAGAGTTCTTACACCACCTATTAATAATGGACCAATCAATAATCCTTACCATTAAAATGAAATATATCCCAATATTACAGACATTGCACTCCAATATGCATCTCCTAATTACTATTTAAAAGTATTCAAATATATTGAACCAGATGAAAAATAAAATCCTATACCAAATATTATAGTTAATCCATCATTTATACAAAATTCATGAACTGAATCTTTTATAAATCCAGCAAACCACCATATTGCTGTTATCAAAATAAATGTGAATCCTGGATCAACTATCTATGTTAATGATAATAATCCTATTAAAAGACTTTAAATAAAAGCCAACTTTATTTATAAGATATCCAAAAATATATATGATAACATAAAATGTTACATAAATATTGTAAACAAAGATATAAATACACCTGTTATATGTTTACTTATATTTTAAACTAATGCCCCCTTAAATGAATTTTTCTATTCCTTTACACTCACTATATCATAAAATTAAGACTCTGTCAATAAGTACATCACTCCTTACTAAAATATTATAAATTTCACTAAAAAGGAAACACTCCCACTAAATACTTTTATTAAAAACTATCCTATTACTAAAGCAAATTATTATAATTATGGTAGTATTGTATAAACATAGTCATAACCTTATTACATATACTCATATATCTATTCATTTAACAAATCCATATGACTTAAGAAAACTTTAGCTTAACAATATTTTGAATCCTAACAATTATTAATGCTTTTTAGTATATCTGTTGCATGTTCTCCATAAATTTTCTCTAATAAATTTACATTTTTTTCATCCTCATCATCAACATCTGCAGGATTCAAAAATGAATATAATTGCTGTATCTATTATTCAGATAGATATTGACCTTGTAATTGTTAGAGAAAAAAGTCTGCTGAAAGATAATATTTATATTCATTAGGGATTTAATAATTCTATAACTTTGGTATTAAGTCTTCCTTGTATTTCATTATATCTGAATATATTAATGCTATTGCTATAGGCAGTATTAAGATCATCCCCAATAAAACTGATGCAAATAAAATTGTATTAAATAATTTTGATTTGCTTATCCATTTTAATAATCCTATCTCCTCTTATTCTTCTTTCTTTCTAAATGGATATTATATTATTCTCAACAGATCTATACCAGCCCAAAATAAAACATCCCAAAATAATACTTAAGATAAACATTACAGTTTTATTACTACAACATAAAATACAAAAACATAAGGAATTGATGAAATTGTTAACAACTTTTTTAAATATTCCAATATCGTAAAGGGATGTCTTAGGCAATATAAAATATTTATTATTAAATTGGAAGCTATACCAAATTTTGCTGAATGAAAAAAATATATTTTCTAGCTTGACCATCGTTTACTATTTGCTGCATATAATTTCTACAAACCATTTACCACTGAAATTCTTATGCTTGCTAATGCAACAGCAAAAATTATCTAAGCTAATCAAAATTAGTACCATAAAAAAGAATGTTGCTAAATAATCTCCTGCTAATTTATATAATCCATATAATATTCCTCCCCCAAATGCAGTAATTATATTGGCAGTTACCAAATATCCCACTTGAGATGAACTCATTATTAAATAATTATTATTCTTTGATATATATTTGATATCTATTAAAGTTCTTCAAATTAATCAATTGAGTGAATATTATATAAAAATTTGTTTAAAACTAATTAATTAATTATAATTCTCTATTAAAATATATGTACAAATTGAAATATCATATTTCATTTACATTTAATTTTTTTTGATTTTATTTTTTAAATATTTTTTTCAATTTAATTAAAATTTTATTATTTAAAATCTGTTTATCTTACTATTTTGTTTAAAAATTAGCTTTTACTCTATTAACTTTTTTTCAGCTTATTTATAAATTGAAAGCTCAAATTTCCTTATATTGATTGATTCATTTGTCGAAGATAAGTTTTTTAGTGATAAATATATTTTACTACTACAAAGAATATACATTAGTTCAACATAATTGATATAGTAGATTTTCATAAATTTTTTATCACCATCCAAAATTCCATAGCCTTTTTGCTTTTACTTCAAAAATTTTTAATTTAACGGAAGAGCAAATTATTTATATTAACTTTTTCATCCCCCTAAATTATTAAATAATAATAAGTATCTATGCATACATTTTAAAAAAATAAAATTATAAATTTAAATAAAAAATATTCAATAATTCGATGCAGTTGAAATAGTGCATTTACACCTTACCATTTTTATATCACATATTAGAATTTAGACAATTTATTTATATTGATGAGTCTGGAATAGGACTTTTCATAAAAAAGTATTGAATTAGAGTAATCTGTCTATCCATTTAGAGAAAAATGCTTCAGAGGAATTGTGAATTAATTATAATTATAATTTTTATTCAGAATATATTTTTGTTAAGATTGGATATTTAAGATGTTGAATGTTAAATAATTGATCTTAAGTTATTTTTTATCTTAAAATATATTTAATTAGGGCAACTTCATATTTGTTTGATTAAATTAACAATTAAAATTGGTTTAGATGATTTGTAAAACATAAATTGTCTTCTTTGATAAAACGTTAATAGAGTTTAAGTTTTAATCAATTAAAAACTGAAAAATAAGTAAACAAGTTTATTATGAGTCATAAATGATATTAAATTAAATAGTAAATCCTTAATTTTCAATTTATTATGCATTTCAATTATAAAAACTAATACAAACATTCTTAATAACTAAAATAATTAAAAAATATTTTGAAAATCAATACAATTTTTATATATATTTTTAATTGAATTTAATTTTTTAATAAATACACAATCATTAAATAAAAATTTATTCATTCTTTTTTTGCTTTGAAATATAACTATTTAGTGTTAATAGAAATTATGATTATCCTGTTTTAGAGATTCTTGTACATTTTTATTAGAATCATATTTACAAACTGATTGAATCAATAATTAAACCAATTTATAAAATTTATAAATTAAAATGATTATTAACAAACGTAAAATCAACTGATTGGAAAACAAAACCAATATTAATTAATATTATTCAAATATTTTTAAATATATTATAATTAAATAAAGATTGATTTGTTATTAGATCTTTCTTAAGATTAAAGGAAAAGATGTTCTACAGCAAATGGGTTGGTTTTTACTAGAAAGAATTTATAATTTTGATTAATCCTTTTAGTTAAAACATATTTTGAAACAAAGAAAGTAAATAAATAATCATTCAAAAATTATTTTGAAATAAAATATAAGAATTTCCGAATAATTTTGAGAAAATTGTATTTTGAGTATATTTTCATCCTTTAAAAAGGTATTTAAGTATCAAGAATAGTCAATTAATAAATGAATCATTTAAGCATAATGATAATTATTCTTGGATATAGTTTAATAACGATTACAAATTCGTCCACTGTTTTAGGATACTTTGATGCAGGCCAATGCACTTGCGAATATATAAAAGAGTAAGGTGCCTGTCATCCTAATTTTTGTAATTGGAATGTGAACACTAATGAATGTACAAAAAAAGTTTGTTCTGATATTAAGTAATCATTTTGCTTAATTTCTCCAGACAAATTTAAATGTATTTGGAATTTTTTCGAAAATCGTTGTGAATCTTTTACAAAATGCTCAGACTATGTGTTTCCTATTGAAAATGGGAATTTATGCTATACATTAGTAAAGTGTTAAGCAGATATTAACAGTATCGATTATTCAAATGAAAAAATTAGATGTATGGATAAAGAAATACATGCTTAATATGCTATATCTAATTGTGAAAAAGTACCATTATATCATTGTAATTGGCTTGTAACTCCTGATGGAAAATAGTGTATTAAAAATACTTTGACTAATACATGTGATGGAAAAGTAGTGAAACTTTGTTCTGATTTTAGTACTTCTGAACTATGTAATCCTTATGCTTGCTATTGGTAAGATTAATGCAAACAAAAAACCTGTTCTTCCTTAACTTAAAAAGAATGTATCTATTATGAATCTCTTGATTCAAAATAATTTACATTTTGTAATTGGAATGGAACCAGTTGTATAGACTTAGATGTAAAAACACTTACAATGGAATAATGTTGGCCCTATACCTATTCTTCTTATTATTGGAATTCTGAAACTAAAATATGTGAATATTGTGAACGTGAAGATTATGCAAATTTAATGTCAAAACTTCTTCTTTTTGGAGCACTTATTTTATTTTAAACTCTACAATGAGCTCTAATATATGAAAAGAATGAATATCAATTTAATATAATAATATTTTCATCTAATCACATGTAAAAACATAATAGTCATCATAGATATATATCAACAATTTATAAATCATAAAATAAAAAGATTTTTAAATTAAAAGATAATAAAAATCTTAGGTATTTTTGATTCATTAAACAATTATAGAAAAAAAATAAAAATATTTTTATTTCAAAATTAAGATTTTTATTAATTCTGATTCATAAATTAAAGCCAATCAATTCTGATTGAAATAATCAGAAAGTTTAGAGTATCAAATGATTATTAATAATTAATTTTTAAATTATAATAAAAAATAAATGAATTCTTAAGTAATACATAAAAAAGCAGAATCTGATAAATTGAATTGGTCTAATCTAAGGAAAAAGATAATAAAGAAATATCCTCAATATAAAGTAATTATTGATGCCAATTCAAACTGTTTTTCAAAATTAGACTTTTCTAAAAAAGAGAATTAAATAAAAGTCATTAATATGATTATAGAAAAACAATAATAAGCACTGTAATAAATTTTTACAGAAGAACTTGAAACATAGTAAAAAGAAACATAAAAGTAAATGCAAAAATTAGTTGGGATTATTGCAAAAAAAAAGAATGCAGAAACATAGAAAAAACTTGATTAAAAAAAAAAAGAGTAGCAAAAAGAATAGCAAAAAGGAAATTAAAATAAAAACTTTATAGCCCCAGTAAAAATTCAATAAAAAGTTTCTGATAAGATAGAAGCTTGGAATACAATTGATGAATCTTAAAGTTTTATTCATGATTATTAAGATTGCACTTAAGAAAAGTTTTATATTACATAAGATGTTTAAGCTCCTTAAGAAAATGAAGAAATAAAATAAAATTAAAATAAGCCTTAATCAATTCTTTCTTAAAAGAAAAAAAAACAAAAAAAACACAAATCTTGTGGGGTCAAAGAAAAAAGTGTAAGATTTTAAGATGATTCTAACTAAACCAACATTTAATAAGTTGAGAGTTAAAAAAGTAAAAATAAAGAATTTCAATATGAATAAGAAACTTTGGAAAATGAAGATATGAAATAAATGTTATAAACAAATTCTAAAGATAGTGAAGATTTAGATGATGAAGAAGAAAATTAATAAAGTGATGATGGAGATAATGAAGAAGATGAAGAGAATGAAAATGAAGAGAAAGAGGAAGAGGAAGAGGAAGAAGATAATGAAGAGGAAGAAGATAATGAAGATGAAGAAGATAATGAAGATGAAGAAGATAATGAAGATGAAGAAGAAGAAAATGAAGATGATGATGAAGAGAATGAGGAAGAAATAGAAGAAGATGAAGAATAAGAAGAATAAGAAGAATAAGATAATGATGAAAATGAAGATGAAGATGATAATGAAGATGATAATGAAGAAGACTAAGATGATAATTTTGACGATTAAGATTCCTAAAATATAAAAGAAATAGAAAAACAAAAAAATTTATTAAAATTAAAAGAAAAAGCTTTAAAGAAAAAATGTTGATTATTTATTAATATTGAAACAACAATTAATAGTTTAAGAATTTATTTTTATATCTAAGGATAGTTTAACGTAAAATACCAAAAATAATTGTATATAAATTTATGAGTTTGAACTGTTTAAGTTATTTTAATTTTCCTAATTTATTAGAAATAAAAACTATAAAATCATAGTGAAATTGAATAATTTATTTTTTAATATTAAAGAGAGATAATTAGTTAATAAGAGTATAGAAAATCAAGTGAAAAATATCATAAAATATATAATATAATAGTTGAATTAGTGTTAAAAAAAGAGATAGGAGAGATGATGAATATAGATTGAGTATATAAAAATTGTGATTATTATATAAAATGATTAAAAAGAATAAGATTAAAATAAAATATAATGAAAAGATAATTAGTTAGTTTTGTGGCTCGTTTTGTAAAACAACATCCTAAATTACAAATAAAGACATCTTTTTGTTAGCATGAACATGTAAGAGATTTAATAGATATAGGGTTGTTTGTATAATATAATAGAGGGATTAGTGAGATCTTTTGGTATAGCATATACAATGAAAGCACTTTTTGGTTTGATTTCAGCATTATTAACAAAGAATAAGAAGATAAGTAAGGGTAGTTTGATTTTGGATGCATTTATTGGAATAGATACATTGAAATTTGCGTCATTTCCAACTGTTTATTGTTTAATACAGAAAACATTAATTTGTGGATGTAGACACTTAACAAAATAAGATATAAAGATAATGTCATTTGTATCTGGATTTAGTGGTGGATTTGTGAGTTTAAGTTTAATTGAGGAAAGTAAAAGAAAGAATTGGGCTTTATATTTATTAACAAGATCAATGGATACTATGTTTAATTCATTAATAAACAAAAATATAGTTGCAAAACGAAGTTATTATTACATAATATTTATGGGTAAATAATATTAATAATAATATTAATAGCTATTGAAGTATTAGTGACAGCATATGCATTTGGTTGTGAAAATGATTGTTTAGAAGATTATATGTTGAAATTTTATGCTAGATTTGGAAATGAAAATTAGTGTGAATTAGATGAAAGGAAATGCTGGCATGAAAGAGTGAAGAGATAATTCGAAAATAAATAATGATATAATAATTGTCAATATTATCTACCAGCAGTTTTACTAGATCTTGTATTAGATTATTAAACAGTTGTTGTTTTTTCAGTAGTAGTAATAGTTTTTTGTTTTTTTAATGAATCTAATTCAGCTTAAGCCATCATCCATTATTCTTATGCAGTATGAAAATCTTAATTGGCTTTCATAAATCTTTCTTTCCAAATATCTGCTTCATTTGAATAATATTTCAATTTTTCAGTAGTTGATTAATATTCACTCATTTCTTATTCTAATTGTCTAATCATTTATTTATATTAAGCTATTTCTTAGTCTTTATTTCTAATATGTTATTATTTATATATAATTACTAAACTAATCTCATATAATTTTACATTTCCATATTTGATGAATTTAATGCATTTTCTAATTTTAATATTTATCTTTCTTTTTCAGCTAAAGCATCTCTTAATTATCTAACTTCTTCACCTCCTTATAATAATTGTTAAAATTCTAATTATAATTTTGAATATCTTTATCTCCAAGAATCAATTTCATTTTATTAACTTTCAATTTCTTTTCTTAATCCATCTTCGATATCTTTCATCATTTTAATTTTAGCTTCCAATTCTCTAATTTAAAATTCTTCATTAGAAGTAACTTTAATTTCTTATCCTTAATTTTTATATCTAGCTAATTCTGTTTATAAATCAAATATTTTAATTTCTAATTCAACACATTTCTTTTTCCATGGTTCTTCTACTTCTTCAACAGATAAAACCTGTAATTCTCTTTCAACATGATACATTTCATTAATTTCTGGTTGTTAAGGAGGAGGAGGTGTTACAATTGGTTATTATGGAGTACTTATTATAGCTTATTATGGAGGTGTCACTATTGGTTATTAATATTAAGGAATTTTATATTCATGAGTATGATGCCTATATAAAATATTATTTAGATTTTACATATGATGTTATTATATAGTTTTAACATGTTAATTCTATTACGTGTACATTTAATTTGATTATGTATACATTTGATTTTATTATGTATACATTTGATTAGGTTATGTATACATTTAACTTTAACCTGCTTATTATTAATATACCATTGAAGGTTAACCTGATATTACTTTCATCTAAACAGGTGATTAGAACTATTAAGTTAAAGGTTTCTAATTATTTTATGTCTATTATTAGTATACAACAGATTGAACAGGAAGTTAAGGATATTGATTGTTCGTTAACATTAATTAAATATAAATTATCGCAATTTCAATTTATTATCCAATAATCTATTTTCATTACATCGTTTTAATATCACTTCTAACTACCTTTAAGGCATATCCAACATAGTAATTAATACTTAATTATTTAGTATAAAGGACTTTTTTAATATATATATATTTTTATTCAAATATTTAAAATCGCTGATTCTTTTTATACTTTTAATCATGTTTATCATAGATTATGTCAATCATCTGGATTTTTTATTTTTGCAAAAAGAATATTATTAAAAAGAATCTATCTTAAATAAATGACAATAGAAGATTTCTATTTGTTTAAAATATTAAAATTATTATTTTATTAAACTTAAACAGATGTATGAGTAAATTTTTTAGTTTATAAATAAATATTTATCTATTATTTTTCATTTTTGCAAGAAATTGTATTATTTTAAATTCTTATTGGTCAACTAAAAAAAGATTAAAAGTTTTTTCAGATTATTAAATATTTATTAATTCTTACTGATAAAATTAATGTGAAGTAAATATATTATCTAAATTTAACTTAAGATATATTAGAAATCAATTAAAGTAAGTTTTAAATTTTCTTTTACCAATATAGCTTTTTATGAAACCGAAACGTCAGAGAAAAAAGTTTACAAAAGAATTAAGTAATTATCTTTAATCGAATAGAAGTTATATACAAATTTAAATAACCAAAAAATTTCTTAATTTTGCAATAGATCTTACATCTTACGTTTAAATTTATCATTATTTATTTGTATTTTGATGAACACTAATTACTAAATAATAATAAGTTAGAATAAATATCTATAAATTGAAAGTATATGTATTTAAAAATAATATAGAAAAATAAAACTACTATGAATAATAATTATAAGAAAATTATTAAGAATAATAATAATTAATATTTTCTATAAAGAAAGTACCTTTTATACTAAAATTATTTATATGAAGAATTTATTGAATCCTTAAATCTTCAAATCCTTAAACTACATATATTGGCTACTTTCAATTTTAGATAATATGAATTCTAATTTTCAACATTTTAATAATGATTAATTAATAAACCTTATGATTTGAGAAAATCGCCCAGAATTATAAATATAGCTATTTGATTTTTTAATAAATAAGTTAAAAATGAAAAATCTTTTTCATATTAATTTACTTTATGAATAATATTAAGAATTACTTTTCGATTCCCTTAAGCCAAATGAGCAAAAATCACCTACTTTAAGAAATAGAAGATGAAAACTTGGAAGATAATTAATATATTTCAGCTCAGCGTTTAACAATAGTTCAATCATGTCTCAGTAAAACCATTATTGAAGACTATCCTTTGGAAAAAATAAAAAGAAATTAGGTAAGGTAATAAAAAGATTGGAAGGAGTAATTCAAATGGCTATGAAAAGGAATTTGATTTTTTGTCAATTTATATGTAAGAAATAAGTTTTATATAAACAAACATATATTGTGATTTAGTTTTATATCATAGGAAATAAAAGTTTTCATAATTTTTTAACTTCTTCAGCTGAAAATTTCATTTTTTCTCTTTATTATTCATATAAGGTTAATTATTTAAAATTTAATATTTGAATGCACTGTCGTTAATCATTTGTTTGAATACATTATTTATATTCATTTAAGTTTGATTGAAAAGCTTATTCATAGAAATAGAATGTGAAAAAAGACTTTTTCATAAGTAACATCATTTTAGGACCTTAAAACATCCAATTGGCATTAATGACTTTGAGTAGATCAATAAGGACTTAATTTTCTGCTTTTTTATGGAGAATGTAATTTTGAAAATCAAATGTTGAATAGAATAATTCAATTTATGTTTTGCTTAGTGAATATTTGGATAATTTACTCAAATGGATTCAAATATTATTGATTAAATTCTTAGATAGTAAACCATTCTTTAGGATGAAATAGATTGAAAAATGATTGATCTGAAAGTTTTTCTAAAAAATTACCCATATTTAATTTTAATATATAATAATGTTTAAAAGAATAGATAGATTATTAATATGTAATTAAAAAAGAGTTGTGATAATATATAAATTAATATAAAAATATAAATTATTAAAAATGAGTGAGAAAAAAAATGACTTCTTTTCATTCTTTAATAGTTCTTAAAAGAAGAAGGAGACTAAAAAAATAATCTTTGATGAAAATTTCTTTAATTTACAAGTAAATGGAGGAAAGATTCATAGTGATAAGATTATAATAGAAGCAATATCAATAGTTGGTAATAGTATAACGATAATAAAAGACAATGAGAAGTTGGATACAGATATTAAATGGTTTTAGATTTCACCAAATAATGATTTCAATACTTTAGGAATAAGTGGAAACTCATATTAACCTAGTATTGAAGATGTTGGATCTAAGTTTATGATTTAAGTCGTACCAATAAAAGAGGGAAGATAATATGAAGGAATGCCAAAATCAATGGAAATAGGACCATTATAAAAAGATGACTAAATTTAAGAAGAGATAGATGAATTATTAGAGAATGAAAAAATGACTGTATTTGTTACATTAGAATAAATATTAAGCAAGGATTTTTAGATTGTACTAAAATATTTATTAAAAAGGAAGCAGAATTGCCTATTAATTGCATACTCAAAATAACACTTAAAAATATGGAATTAGATTTAAAATAAAATGATTAAATTATTCATCATATTGAAGTTCCTTTATAAGCACAATATCCATCATGTACATCTAAATAAGGCACTAATGAGAGTTTTATATTAAAAGTAGATTCAAGAAATCATTTCTAATTGAAAGCAGCTGATAATTCTTAAAGAGATATTATTTTAACTGTCATTAAAGGGTTTTATGGTAAAGGAATATGGAAAGATCATGAAGTTTAATAATAAGATGAAAGTGAAAGTGAAGATTAAGATTAAGATTAAGATTAAGATTAATAAACATAATAATAATAATAATAATAATAATAATAATAATAAGAATTTAAAATAAATTAAAATCATTAAGAAGAACAATAGATTTAACAAAATCAAATTTTAGTAGAGGAAAATAAGGAAGAAGAAGTAGAAGTTCCACAATAACATTAAGAATTAGTTGAGTCTATTATAATAAAAAATGATGAATAAGAACAAGTAAATGTTCATATTGTATAAAATTTATAATCAGAATAATAATTAGTATAATAATTAGAATAATAAACAGAAGAAAAATAAGTAACTGAAAAAATAGATTAATTACAATCTCAAATAATAGAATTAGATCATTAAATCTTATAAAATAAACTTACATAAGAAAATTAAGAAGAAGTAGATTTAGAATAAAATTAAATTATAGAATAAACTTAAATCATTCAAGAATAAGAAAATATGATAGTGATTTAAGAATAAAATAAGCCAATTGAACAAATAGTTTAAATATCTCCTACAAAATAAGATGAGATTGTATAAGAAGTATAATAAAATAATGATAAGAAATTATCTGAAGATAGTAAACAGGAATAAAATAATGAATAGTAATAGACTGATTTATAATAATAATGTTAAATATAATAGATTGAATAATAAGAATAATAAGTTAAAGATATAGAGATTAAATAAAAGAATGAGAATATTAATAATAAATAAAGTGATTAGAACAATTAGATTAATAATGAAGAATAATAATTGATACAAAGATCTGAACATAAATTTTAATCGGTGATAATTGTATCAGAAAATAATAAGGAGGAGAAAGTTAGTCCTATAAAAAAGAAAGAGAAGAAAAACAATATGGATTTATATATACAAATAAATGAAAATGTTAAATTAAAATAAGATATTGAATAATATAAAATAAGTTAATAGAAGGATTAGGAAATAATTTAAAAATAATAAAAATAAGTAAGTAATAAAATTTAAATAGATCCAAACAATAACAGAGTAATTGAATAATTGTACAAAGAATTATTATTTACTTGAGGAGGAATGTACAAATTAAAAGAAAATAATGCATAATTTAAATGATTAGAAAGTGTTTTTATAATAGGATATAAATATGTATAAGACTTAATTATTGGAATTAACCGAAGTAAGTTAAAATTAGAAGGAAGAGATTTAGTAATTATAGAAGAGATTGAAAAGATAATAGTAATCTCAAGATTTGAATGAAGCTAAGAAATAAATAGAGTAGTTAAGAGAAGATATAGCTAAGAAGGATTTAATGTTGGAAGCAGCAAATAAAGATCATATATTAGCATAATAGAAAATAGAAGATTTAGAAAAGGTAATAGAAGGATTTTAGAATCAATTAATTCATGAGAAAAAGAAATATGAGAGTTTAGCTATGGAGAAGGGGATTAAACAATCGTAAATAATGTAAAAGGATGTTTAAAGACTATAATTTGAGAGACCAATTTCAAAAGAGATAAAAGCTGTCGCATAATCAATGATATAATTAGATGATGCAGAGAAATACTCAATTGATATAAGTTAGAGTTTATCGAAGTAAATAAAAGATTAATTAAATAGCTTAGATAGTATTAGTGAAGTAAATAGATTGAAGAATTAGATTATGCATTTAGAAGCTACATTAAGAAGGTATTTATAAATAATATGTTATAATAATAGTTTGAAGATTGCATATGAATAAGATATTAGGTATACAAAAGGAAAGTAAGGAAAATCATCTACTGGAAGTAGCAAAGATATTAAGTATTTATAACATATAGCAAATAATATGGCAGAAATAATTACAGAGAAAGATTCTTAATTAGAGAATCAAAAAAGAATAAATAAAGAATTGCTCACTAAATTATAGATTTTATAATAATAGTAGTAATAAATATGAGTGATATACATATTTAATTATACTAATATTTGATTGTTAATTTATTTAAATTTAAACCGGTTAATTTGATCATATGTCTGATTTAGCTGATAAGATAGTTGTAGTAATTAGAAAGAGACCATTAGGAAAAAAGGAGCTTGCAAAAAAGGATGAAGACATTGTAGATGTTCAAAGTGATTAAAGTGTGATTGTTCGAGAAGTGAAGTAATACACAATTGTATACTTAGATAAAAGGTAGATCTTACTAAATATGTTGAAGAACATATGTTTAACTTTGATTTAGCATTTGATTAGAATGCTTCGAATTAATAAGTTTATTTGAATGCAGTTCGACCAATTATAGAAGCAGCCTTTAATAAAGCAAGAGTTACTTGTTTTGCTTATGGACAAACCGGAAGTGGTAAAACACATACTATGTTGGGTGATGTTGATAAATAAATACCTGGGATGTATATCTTAGCAGCTAATGATATATTCTAACTGTTACAATAAGTAAATTTATATCTGTTATAATATTAGCCTGAATTCAAACATTTAATTGTTGGAGTATCATTTTTTGAAATCTATTGTGGAAAATTACATGATCTTTTAAATTAGAGAATGTAAATCTAAATTAGAGAAGATGCTAAAGGAAATGTTAATTTAATCAATCTACTTGAAAAGAGAGTCGATTCTGTATAAACTCTTATGTAAATCATAACTCAAGGTTAAACTGCTAGAGTTACAGGTTAAATTTATTTTATTATTATTTCTTAGCTCAAAATGGAGCCAATAATGAATCATCAAGATCTCATGCCATTTTACAAATCAATCTAAGAACTGGCAAAAATGTTTTTGGCAAATTATCATTCATTGATTTAGCTGGAAGTGAAAGAGGAGCTGATGTTTAAGATTCTAACAAATAAACTAGAATTGATGGAGCTGAAATTAATAAATCACTCCTAGCATTAAAAGAATGCATCAGAGCATTAGATCTCAATAAAAATCATACTCCTTTTAGAGGATCTAAACTTACATTAGTAAATCTTATTATAATATATCTAGGTTTTAAAAGATAGTTTAACAGGAAATTGTAAAACTGTTATGATTGGAAACATTTCTCCAAGTTCATCAAGCAGTGAACATACTTTAAATACATTAAGATATGCTGATAGAGTTAAAGAACTTAAAAAACCATAAGATAAATAATTTTAAGGAGATTACATATAAAGAGAATTGATGTTGGCCAGATAAAATAGTAATACTTTTATCTATTTATTTTCTAGCTAATGTTGTCAGAAAAGCATATAAAAATCCTGATGATGATGAAGATGAAGATATCTCATCTAATTCTATGAGTAATTCCTTATTTCCTTAATAATAACAATAATAATATATGTTTTAATAACAATAATAATAATAGTTTATGATGCAATAATAATATTAATCAAATTAATATCTTTTTTAATAACAATAACAATAATAATAATAACAATAATAATAATAATAATAATTATAATAATAGTAAATATCTAATCCACCAAAATTATCTTAAATATCGAAAAATTCATCATAGTAAAATTCCAATAATAATATTCTTAATAGATTTAATTTAGGCTCTTTTCCTACTATAAATGGGGGTAGTTCTTCTAACATTGTACCAAATAATTCCAAATAATATACATAATAACCATTTTTATAATAATAACCTTCATGCAATTCCATTCTTACAGAAATTCCTCAATAATAACCATAATTATTTTAATAATAATATAATTAATAGGGTAGCAAATTATTATAGCATCCTTAACAATAACAATAATTCTGTTAAAATAATAATCTTTTCCAAGAAAATGTATTTGATTAAGGATATTAATAATAATCCCAATAAAATTAATAGGCATTAGATATACGTCAAGATTCAATGGTTGAAGAAGAATTATGCATAAATAATCCAAATTATTTTAGTGTCACAGGAAGATACTCTTAAGAATCACAATCTTCAAGATAAAGTTCCACTAGACCTTTGTAAGAGATCAATAATTATGAAGGATCTAAGTACTATAATAATAGATAATTTACAAATAATGATTACTAATATTAGTAACATATTTTGAATGAACATAAATAAAATATTGATAAAATAGTTGAAATCACTAAAGATGTATTGATTTGATTATACAAAAGGAAATGATTAATTTATAATAAGTTTAATCTCCACAAGATATGTCACAATATGTTTAAAAAGTGATGTTCTAGTTACAGAACAAAATGGATTTAATTGCCAATTTGCATTAAAAGATGAAGCAATATTAAAAAGATGTTGAAAGTAGGGGAATGTCATTCCAACCAAATTCCCATACATTTAGTTTATTTTAATAAGATGATAATTTACTAAACATAGATGATAATGTGATTTGAATTATATAAATATATTAAAAAATTATATTGAAATCAAAATTAGCTGAAATCATTATTAATAAATGACCATCCATTAATGTAGTTAATTGAGCTAGATTTATCAGCTGATAATATAAAATCAAATGGGATATCAAATTTTTAATTTAAAATTTCTTAATTAATAATTGGTTAAGGAGGTTTATATTTTCTATAAAAATAATTTAATAAATTACTTTTTTAAGAGATCATCCCAATTAATTTATTTAAAAAAGGGATGATCTTTGATTTCATCAGCATCTCTTAATGATGCTCCCAATCTAATCATAGGATTCTTTTCCAGTAGCAATTATATAATTGATTTGCATTCTTTGGAAATATTATCTGGAAATGAAATTTTATTGCATTCAATATTATTCAGCATTTCATCTCTATTAGGTGAAAAATATGGAGGTTTTCCACTGATCATTTCATATAATAAAATTCCTTAATAAATAAATTATATTTGAAATACCTAAATGGTACCAATCAACAGCTCTTCCATGTCCAACTCTTTTTAACATTTCTGGAGCCAAATATGCCATAGAACCACAAAAACTTTTAGCTCCATAATTATCTCTAACTCCTTCTTTTGATAAACCAAAATCAGTCAACATAGCATGACCTTAGGAATCTATTACTATGTTTTCTGGTTTTAAATCTCTGTAGATAATATCATTTTTATGAAGATGTTCTAAAGCTGTAAGAATTTCTGCAATATATAATTTAGCAGCTTATTCAGGGATTCTTTTTTAATTTAAAATTATTTTAGATAAATCTCCACCTGGACAAAAATCCATCAATAAACAAAGATGAGTATTAGTTTGAAAGGCAAATCTTAATTTAACTATATAAGGATGATTTAAATAAGATAAGATATTCCTTTCAGCCATAGCATATCTAATTAAATTATGTCCTAAAAATTTACTCTTAGGTAAGACTTTCATAGCATATTTTTATCCTTATCCAATTTTATTTTAATTTCTTCTTTCAACTAAATAAACATCTCCAAAAGAACCTTTACCAATTTGTAATATAATTCTAATATTGGATGGACCAATCATTTCACTTTCATTTAATTAAGACTAATATTAAATGAAGAAATACAACTTGATTAAGGGTTGTACGATTAGATGTAGAGAATTAATTATCTGTTTAATATGGTGAGTAACATTTAGATTATTATTAGTATTGATTAGTGAGATAATATTATTATTTACTAGTGGGAGAATTGACTTTTTATTATTCCTTAGAATCATCATAAATTTAAACTTTGTGACTTTAATTAAATGAATCTTTTTTCATCTAAAAATGAAATTAAATATTTATTATTTACTCTATAATGTTTTTCAATCAGATTTTTGAGAGTATTATTATTTTGGATTAATTCAACAGGAGATTTATTATCTAAATTTTTTAAATTTAATTGTAATGATGGTCTGGCTAATAGGATTTCAGCAATTCTAATATGTTCTAAGGAGAGATAAAATAAATAATAATTTACAAAATAAACATGCATAATGTAATGCTGTATTAGAATGGTTATCTATATGATTAATATCAGAACCTACAGTTAATAATAATGTGGCAATAGAATCACATCCATTTTAAGCACAAATGATTAGAGGTGTTTATCCTTAAGCATTAATTGAATCACAATCTGCTTCATTTTTAAGAAGTAATAATGATAAATCATAGTTTTAATTTAGACAACTATAATGAATAGAAGCAAATCCTAAATAAGTATATAATTTATATACCATTATCATCTTTAACATTAATTTCTGGTTTTAAATCTTTTGTTGGAATGTCTAATAATTTTTCAACTTCTTTGATATTGTTTTGTTTAGCATTAAGAATTAGATAATGGTTGTTTTCTCTTTTTTATTACCACCAACCTTACCATGCTGATTTATGTCTTTTTTTTAATTTGGCCATGTATTCTTTATTAACTTGAATCTTGTCAACTTATCTAATATCGTAAACAGTTCCTGTAGTAATAAGTAGAATTAGAAACCTGTGTCTTGATCTTTAATAAGGAACATTTCATCATTAAATTTCTATTCGTACAAATTAACAGGTGCTGTATTAGTATGAAAATGGGATATTCGCAGATTAGATGATTGATTCTACTATGCTACTTCACTATATATATTTATAAATTACTCAAAACCGGTAGAGTTTTTAGAACTCCTAGATTTATTGCTGTTACAATTAGAAAGACTACCCTATGAACTTTATTTTTAATGACTACTTTAATTGAGTTTTAATACTATTAATCTGGTTAATATTGTTTATTTCTCATCATTGTTTATTCAGCATATAATTTATTATTCATAGCTGATGGCGCTCTTGGTATTTCAGTTTTCTTGCTTATTGTATTTTAAGTTGGAGTTATAGCATCATACTATTTCTTTAATGTTGCCTAATATTATATCTAATAATTAGTGTCTCTTGGAGTATTCATCGGTAATATTGGATGTTTCTACATTATAATAATAATATTAATTTAAATTTCTTTCATTTATATATAAATTATCATTCTTTTCATAACATTTCCATTATGTCAGATATCATTTACTATTTATTCAATCTAGAACCAAACTTATACATTGCCATAAAGTATTAATATGTCAATCTTCTTCTTTTTAATAACACTTTACTTTTTATTCTCTCCAATTATAATCCTTCTTTTATATCTTTATTTCTTTATTCCAAATCCTTTTTATTCCCTTATAAATTTTATTATAATTCCTCAAATGGAATATTCTAATCTCCTGGATTTGGTTAACCATTTAAAATCCTTTAAACTTACTCTCCTTATTATTAAATCTATGTTTCCAAATCTTTTATTTCACTACCCAAATGTAATTATAAAGCAACTGGAAACACTTTTTTCTCGCTAAAACTATTTAATTATATTTATAAAAAGTAGTACTAATCATATTTTGTCAGATATTTATTCATTATAAATATCTTACACATATTGTAATGAAATTATTTATAATTCTTACAATTTCCTTCTGCATGTGACATTGTAATTAATTTCAAATCTAATTCTTACAATTCATGGAAATTTATTAATGAACTACTTAATTCATCCCATTTCTAATCAAAATTTACTATTTTTAAATCTATTTATAACCATCTCACTTCAAAATATGATGTAATACTTAAAAACTCACAAAATTATTAAAATCCTTGTTATTCCAATTAAAATGTATCTACTCTAAATCTTTTAATTTAAATTCTTACCCTATTATTGTTAATCTTGCTTTTATTAAAATTATTTTTATTTCTTTAGTAAAAAATTTAAATTCTGGAATTTAAGCTATTATTTATCTTTAAATCAATTTTTATATTATTCCACTTATATCTAGCCAATTTAAATTCTCTTCAAATCTAATTTAATTTTTTTTATACATCTAAATCTCTGTTATTTGTCTATCTGTAAAAATCATAAACTATTAAAGATCATTTAATCTTCCCACCTTTATTATAGAAGCTCCTTTTAAATATTTAATCTAAAGATTAGATACTTTTATATCTATATACTCCTACTCCTTTATCAAACTGAAAATTTATTGTAAATATTAATCATCTATAATAAAACTCTCTGATATCTATATCACCAATTAATTTGAAGGAATAGGCATCAAAATATCTCTCGATAACACTTATTAAATTCCAGTTAATTATAATCTATCAAAATTATATTAATAACTTATTTAATCATTTAAATGACTAAAGTATATTATTATTGGTTTTCCAATTAAACAAACCTTTTTTAAAAGCCATGCATTTTATTTCATTTCTTCTAATCTATACTCACTAGATTTCTAAGAACCTGTTTTTATTGACAATAAATTTAATGTTTTATTTAATTTTACTTTAATCAAAAATTCTTACAATTTTAAATAATCCACATTATTATTCCCTTTCAAATGAATCTTGAATACACTCAAATATTCCAATTATCTTAGTCTCTCACCAAAAATTGTCAAATCAGGCAAATCTTATTGTCCACCAATACTTAAATTCAAATTAACTAAATTTCTCTTCCAACCCAAAGTATTAAATAAATTTGTAAAATCTAAACTTTGTTATTGCTTTGCAAAATCTAAAGACAGACTATTTAAATTGTTGCTTTTATTAATAAGTTTCTCTAATTAATCTAAACAATACTTATTTACACAAATGTTTCTCCTAATTTATTTTAATAAATTAATTACTCAAATTCTAATTCCAAAATTTTTACAGTTCTTAATTTTTACAGGAGAATAAAAATTTATAATGCTTATAAATCTGTCATCTAATTTGAATCTCCAATACTAATCTTCACTATCTCTAATTATGATGATTCTAATAATAAAGCTAAGAAGTTAGCTCCTCCATTTTGGAATTCATTGTTTTTTCCAATTCTTAAACACAAATTCTCTAATTTACTTTGTTATATTGGTAACAATTAAAAGGATTTAAATATTTTTGTCGAGCTTCTAAAATCGTTAAATTAAAATAAATTTACCCAACTTATATATTTAATTATTTTAATTAATTCTACACCAATTTCTAAATTGTAGACAATACTTTACTATCTATTTAATTAGAATTGCCAATCTTTAATTTAAAATATTTAATTGGTTGATTTTCTAAATATTGTAAGACTTTCATTGAATTTAATTAACAAGATTTACTTAAAATTGAATTAAAATTAATAAGTACCCAATTGTTAATGAAAATGAATTTAATTCTTAACAATTAAAAAGAATTGGACCAAAGTTATCTAAACTATCTTTAATTACATTATCTTCTTCAATTTTTAATCTAAATTTATTGAATTACAATTTAAAACTCAAAAGTGCTAATTATTCAAAGCTTGTTCCATCAGATGTAATTCCAGATCTAATGTAAATTTAAGAAATACTTAATTTTGATTTAAAAGTAACCTTTATTGAGAATAATAGAAACAAATTTTTTGATGTCTATAAAGATTTAATTAAGTTAAACACATGATTAAATAATTCTAGATAAATGAGTTAACCATTCAACAATTGAAAGACCTGCATTATCTTCAATATTTAAAGACAACATCTTGAGATTTGAAGTAAATGGTTGAAGTATTTTATAATAGGTTTTAGGAGATAAAAAATTGCCTTTTCTATTAATTTATTATAAATTGTCTACTCTGAATTAATTAGAATATGTGTCATAGAATCTGGTGTAAAACTCTAATTTTCAAATAGAAAAACAACTTTATCAAAATCCACATCATCTATGAGTTCATTTGCACTAATTATAAAAATAATAAAATGAATTAATTACGGCATTCTTATTTTAAATCCTAAGAGTGTACTAAAATAGATGTTGGATAAAATTTGATGAACTTCTGAGTGATCTTTAAAGGCTCCAGAAAAGCTCTTTTTACTAATAAATTAAATAACATATTGATACTGCAAAGTCATATTAAAAAAATATCCATTCTCCTCTTCCTGATCCATATATTATTATAGATTTTTATATTAATAATAATAGTTTTTGTTCTGTTGATGAAAACTTAGGTTCAATACTAAAAAATTCTGAAAATATCATCACATTTCAAATAATCCAAAACCACTACATCTCCAACAAACTCAAAAAAAAGAGTTAAATCTGCTACTATGTTAAAATAACAACCGAATGAAAAATTGATCAACTCTACCACAAGAGATGAAGAAACTACTAGAAATATATTAGATAGTATAAGACTTGATAATGATTACAAATAATTTAATGAAGATGATTAAGTCAAAAAAATAGAAAATTACAAATACCAACATGAAAAAGATTAATGTTACATTACACATCTATAACAATAAGTTAAAGATTTAGAATAATAATTGATCTAAATTTAAACTAAATAAAAATCAATCATGTAACCAATCAAAAATAATGCCAAAATATTAATGGATAGAATCTCTTATTTAGAAATTGCTAAAACTCAATATTCTACAGAAGAAGAGAAACTATCGTAATGTTTATAATAAGTTCTTGATCATAATTACTAAATCAATCTTGCTTATGAAAAGAAATGTCAAGAAATTGAAAAACTTAAATTGCTTAAATAAATTCCCTGAAAATTAATACAATTTTGAATTATGTTTATTTATACTTATTAACTTGATATCTTATTAATTTACTGCAGTATAATATTATTATAACACTCATTTAAAATCATTAATTATTACAAAGTCCTGATAAATTATTAATATTTATATAATACCACAACCCAAACATTATTCCTATCCATTTGGTAAATGATTTCCTCCAATTGGACATTTTCCTTTTCCTTAACATTAAGGTAATTCTTCCTTCTTTAATTATGTCAAATATTTCCCTCCGGATTATTTTGTATGACAAATTTAACAGAAGTGAGTGGTTCCCCTAATATTATATTTATTAATAATACCAACAAAAGTAAGTTGCTATATTACAACAATATCTGCATTTATACTCTAAGAATTCAGTTCCATGAGTTTTACATCCATTTATTTATTAACCACAACATGAAGGACAAATTAAATCAGATAAATTCTATCTATTCTACTCAGCTTCTAATTCTAATTAACAGTCTTTCTTTCCTCCAAAGTATGGTTTCTTACATTTATCACATTAATAAAAAGCAAATATTTCTAAAGCATCTTCTACTTTTAATATTTAATTATCTCCCATCTTACCCATTCTTAAAGAAGCCTATTTACGAACTAATTATTGTAATTCTTCATATTAATTCATTTTTAATTATGAAATTGAATCTTTTGGAAATTCCTATTTTTAAATATAAATTTAATTATACCATCCATCTTTTACATATTGAACAACAACAAAATCCAAATGATATATACATAGTTGTCCATTTCTTTTCTAATTTCTTATTTAAACAATAATAATGGAATATCTTAATTTAAATTAATAATTTTTACATGTCCGCATGCAGCTTAAATACATGGACCTTCATATAAAGATTCTGTAAAACAAATTGTACAATATTCTTCAGATTAATTTTAATTTGTGCATCCAAGACAACCCAAACAATTTTTTTCATCTTTATATCCATTACAAAAATGTTTGCAGTTTGCTAATTTTTAACATGCTTAAGTATTTTTTGCTTAACATTCTTATTATTTACAAACTGCTCTTTATCCAGGCTTTATATCTTGATTATTCAAATATCTATAACAAAATGAACATTATTATTTTTATTAAGCAGGTGATTCACCTGTTCTTATCTTTTTTTATAAATACTATAATCTCTCTGTACCCACATATTTTTCAATCTCTTATTAACTTAATTACTTTTAACAATACTAACATTAAACACAACCTGATTTTTATATATATTATTAATTTATTAATTTCCTTATGCAACCTAAACAATGTGCGTGTTGACAAATTTTAAAATTATAAACCATCTCCATCTCATCTTCATTATTATCTATTTTTCCACAAGCAGAGCATTTCTATCTTATTACCTATTCACGACTATTCAAAGGAAAGAACTTTTTGTGTATATTATTGAAGCACTCAAATTTCAATCAAATAAATTTACTTATTTTTATATTTAATTAGATTATTATGGAAGTTACTATTTTTATTATCTATTCGAATTCTTTGGCGAATTTAATTAACTATTTTCTTCTAATTTTATAATTATACATCATCCATACTTTTATTAATAATTTCATCTATTTGATTGATGATATAAAGGAATTCAGCTTTTAAAGTGTAAAGTTAGGGCAATTTAAAGATATTCAAACGAAGCTTTTCAAATTCTTTGTAAAATAACGATTCACTAAGAAACTTTTTGCAGTGAGAAATATGATTGTACAAATCATCGAAAGGATCACATCGGATCTACTAACCACAAAAGCACTTATAATTATCATCATAATTAGGTTCTTCAAGGTTTGTTTGCATCAAAGACTTAACCTAATTATAAAATCCTTGCATTAATAAATTGCTATTCATTAATTTATATTATTGATTTTTTTAGTTCAAATAAATTGTTTTTAATTTTTACATTATTTTTCTAAAAATAAACTTATTTGAATCATCATTAAACAAATCAAATAAAAAAATATCAAATATCGAATCTTTTTAAACTTTCATTAGAATTTATCGATAGCATAAATTTAAAATTTTTTATAATAGTAAAATGATGAAATATAAATAAAATAACACTTCAATACATAAATGTTTATGTAAAAAATAAATAAATTCATATATGTTTTATTATATTATTCAAAATAAATTAAAAATCAAAGGGATAATTGAGTAAAGGGAAAATTAATTTAAAATTCAATATAGAGAAAAGAGAACTATTAAAAAAATTATTAATATCAGAGCCTTTAATCTAATCGAATTTGAGATAATTTTTTGTTTACAATCCTTATCAAAATAATTAGGCAAACTTCTTTTTACTCATTTAGATTTTTCAAATTTAATTAGACCAAAAGAATGAAAATTCTTTTAACCATAAATGAAATTTGCCTGATTTTTACAATTTATAAATAAAGTACAACTTGTATGTTTCTTATTGACAAATTATATTGATTATAATAAAATTTAAAAAATATATTTAGTTTAAAAGAAGAAGAATAGAAAGTAAATTAAGAGCTAAAGAAAAAGAGAAATTCATTTGGATTGAAATAAATAAATTAAAAATAAAAAAGTAAAAAGAAGGAAAGAGAAGAAGAAAAATATTATCGGAAGAAATTAAAAGAAGAGAAAAGATTAGAATAATAAAAAGAAGAATACATTCTTTTGATTGTATAGGAGAAAAAAATGAGTTGAAAAGAACTAAAAGAAGGATAATGAGAATAAAGAAATATTAAGAAAGTAAAAAGTAAAAATAAGGTCAATAATATCTACTTTAGTAGGGAGGCACATAGAAGTTTAAGTTTAAAAATAATAAAATTCCAGCTTGAATAGATTTTAATTATTAAAACTAAATTTTCTTCCCCTTAAAATCTTTCAGCAATCATTTGGTTTAATGATTGAAGCGATTTTGTTATTCAAAATTCTTATAACAACATAAAGTAATAATATTTAAGAATGTATCTTAAATTTCTATTACAATGTAATATATTTCAAATTCTATATTCGGCTAAGTTTTTATAATTAGTTTTAAATACATTATCAATATATTACTTAGATTCCTTATAAAAATTTTACTTTTAAGAGGCGCTCTCTACCATAAATCAAATTTTACATCGGTGTAAATAATTTAAGTAATATTCCAGCCAATCATATTTTATTTTTAACTACACTTTTTATTGACAAAAATTTTTTAAATAAAATTATTATAAAAACCACTTTTCTCAAAATTTATTTAAACATTTTTTTTTCAGATTTACTAATCATTAAATTAACTAAAACCTTTCAGTGATACCAAATATGGCAAAATCATTTATTGATTATCAAAAATCTCTTAAGATTCATTCTTATTATATTTTGAAGATTCAATTTAGAGTTCTTGTTATTATATTAAATTCGAAAGTTGCTACTTCATTGATATTTTGATATTTTTTATTTTCTGATATTTTATTTTATTATATTATATAGATTCCGATCAAAAGATTAATTAAAATTTTATTATAAAAAAATCTTGAACAGCTTTAATACAATTTATTTGAATTATTAAATTTTGTAATTGTTTTTATTTTCAAAAAATAGAAAATTATCTCTAGAAAGTATAATATCAGGACTTGTTCAAATTCTTTTAGTTGTGACACATGTTATTTTGAAACTCTATAAGCTAATGGTTTGTGACTTTGCCACCCTGCAAATTAATTTTTGAAGTTGGTGTTGGATGCAGATAAGAATGCCAAAGGGAATATTTTATAGCAAGATCAGATGATTTTTGAGTTCCTGATAGAAGCATTGAATCATCACATTAATATTTTACTATGACTAGTTTCACTTTATATTCTATTTTTGAATTGATAGCTGATTCTATATAATTAAAATACTAAAATATGCTCAATTACTTATGTTGGAAGTTTTTTTTATAGTGAGGGAATGAGTTTGTAACTTGAAATTTAATAAAATAAAAAATTTATCAGACTTAGAGAGATTAATTATGTCTTATTTTAAAATGGATGTATTATTTCTTGTCCAGTGCATTCATCTAATTTTGTTGACTATGTAGATATGATACAATGTATTTTATTAATTACATATATAGTTTCAAGATATTTAGCTAAAGGATTTTATGATCTAAATATGACTACTGACGATATAATAAATTTCTATGATGAAACCATTTCAACTGTGAACAATTTCTTAACAGGATAAAAATTTTCAATATTTCAAACTAAAATTTTTTTAGGAGGATTAATGGTATGGAATAATGCAATATACAAAAAATCATGGTTCATTTCAAAACCACACCATGCTGTGACATTAAGATTTAACTTTTTACTATACAACATAAGGAGTAAGATCTAATGCTTATCCAATCACTTCGAGGTTAATCAATTAATGAAATTTTAAAAATATTTTTCCCTTTCTACTATAGAAAATATCATTGGTATCTTAACTTGATATTGAGTTCTAATGTACAGATACTATTGTAAATCCAATAGATTAATATTGTGCGATTTCAGATTACTTTATCGTTGTTGATTATGTAAATCTTTAAAAATATTATTAGTGTCTTCCATTTTGTGCAATTTGCAATGATGGTACTTCATGTAATACAGCGAAAAAATAGAATTATAATCTAGATTTTTTTTGAAGAAATCTGGATATATAAGTTCAAATTGTTCATCAAATTAATTTTTATATTCTGATCTTACCACAGAAAGTTATAGTTGCATAACATGCAATTAAAATGATTGTTTAACATGTAAAAACTTAGAAGAATGCACTTCTTGCGATCTATCCAGTCAATATAATATCTAATAAATGGTGTTTGCTTATCAATAAATCTCCCATTAATGCTGATCCAATTCCTAATCCGACGATTAAGTGTAATATCTATTGTGAAACATGCACAGGAACTTTAATTAATTAATTGCTTAACATCTGTTTCAGATTTTCATCGATCATTATAAATAATTAATGCTAATTTTAATCTAGATTCTATGATGATGGAATTTATCTATATTGTCTTCCTTTTTATGGTGATTTGTTTATAGTAGGAGGAGAAAATTGTTACAATGATCATAATAATCCATTTGATGGTAGTCACAATTGTAAATTAGGTTGTGATAAATTTTGCAATTAGTGTTTCTAAGGATTTTGTATTGATTGTTAAAGAGGTTTATAAATAATGAATAATTAGTGCTTTGGAAATATAGTTTAAATTAGATTTGGTTAATGAACTGATAAAATTTAAGTCATTTGCTGATGATTTTATCATCTTAATAATTTCAGGTATAAATTTTCAATTCTACATATACAAAATTATAACTCTATTATAAAAAAATTATGGGTTCATAAGCGGGAATGGTTTAATAAATAATAATTTAAAAGAAATGTATTTGAAAATTAAGTTTAAAACAATTATAGATTTTTTTTGAGCTAAAATCAGAAAATTAGAGTAGTAGATTTGAAAAATATTTTTTAAATTTAAATAAAAGAGAAAAATCTTTTAAAGGTCCAAAATTATTCAATTATTATTTAATAGAAAATGCTTAGTCAGCAAAATTAATTAATTAATTCTATCCATTAACCTAAATAATTTTTATTCGTTATATTTTGACATAATAAAGAAATTCTTAAAATAAAAGTTTATTAGAAATTTTCCGAAATTTTTTTTTAGTGTTGTTTAGGAATTTCTGTAAATAATGACGCTAACAAATTAAATTAATTAAAATGTTCCAAATTATGTAATAAACTTTAATTGTTTTATAATAAACATAAAATAACAATTTATTATCTATTTAAATACAAAATATATCTTAATTTTATTAATAGATTTAAAATTCAGAATTTATCTTCTAGTATTTAATCTGATAATGAATCAGTATCATTTAGAATTGGATTAGTGTAAAAAATGAAAAAAAATAAAAATGCTTCTTGAGCAATTAACAAATTATAAATATTACTATCTACTATCTGAAAGTAAAGTTTTGCTTCATTTGGAAAAAAGTAGTATCCAAATAATTCCATAACTTTCTATTGCTAATCTTTTGTTAGAATAACAGAAAATTAATAACACTATTTTCTTTATGATTTTCTAATTTATTGCTTGCAGATGCTCAAGTAGACCTTCTTCAACTACTATGTTTTTTTTAGCACTCAAATTGATCAAAATATCTTATGATCTAATCAATTAGTTGCTAATAACTGATTTGCTTAAGAGTATCAGAGAGTTACAATATATTACTAAATTTCCTTGTAATTAAATATTTTTTGTACCTTACACTAACTAAAATTTATTTGAATATTATAAATAATTTTTATCTCTTAAAAAAAGACTACTCTTTATTATTAATTTCATATAAATCAATACTAGTGGATTAACTCTATAAAAATAATTTACCATTAACACAAATTGCAACACCACTACAAAAATAATCTAGTTCTTTAGTAGATAAATTAAGCATTTTATTACAAAATTTATTCTTATATATTTTATAACTTTTTTCCATCTTTAAAAAATTATAATATAGATGCTAGATTGTCAGAATAACCAAATATAACATTTTTTCGAATTATAAATTTCTTAATCACAAATTTAGAGTTAGGTCTATATCTGATATATAATTATTATTTCCTTACAAGGAAAATGTTTATAAACTATAACTTCAATATTAATGTATTTATTCTCTATTTTCAAGATTATATATATCTAAAGTATCTTATCCTCCTACTATAATTCATTGATGATTAAAGATTTATAATACGAATGTGTACTGGAAAGAATCAAATATAACAGCCCACTTTCAACCTAAACTTAAACCCTTGAGATCCCAGTAGGAAATATACTTTTACAAGATTGAATAAGGAGATGGTTACACCTTTATAATATGGATTATAGAAACATAGATGGTTAAAATTACAGACAAGGAGGTCTCTCATATCATAAACAATAAATTTGGATTCCAAGATGGATCCCCAACCTCCCCTGCTAACGTTGTTGCAAGGCCTTCAGAGTAGCAGTGGACGATAAATTATACCATTCAAGATTTTATTTTTATTTAATTATTATTTCGAATTAGTAATCTGTTTCGAGAGAAATTTGATAAATTATCCAATAAGATATATTTCTCAGAACAATCTTTATGCAAATAAGAATCATCTAAAATTTAAAAAGAATTTCAAAATCCCTCTTCCATAAAAACATAAACTTAGAAACCAATAAATTTTAATTTTTTTCAAGAGTTTATAAGAAATCAGGATCAGGCATGAAGAGAAATTGATATCGAAATTGATAAAAAATTTTAAATTTGGATATCTAATCCTTTAAAAATGCCTACAAAATTGTATTTCTAATCTTAAGAAATATGTATATATTTTAACTCACTAAAATAAGCTAACACCCCCATTTACTCATTAATTTTCTAAGGGAGTTTGGTTAGTTTAACAGAAATAATATTTTTATATATCATCCATTGCTATTTTTATTTTCATTATTGGTTTCATCCTTCATTTTAAAAATATAACGTTTTGCATTTTAAAATGGCAAGTTAGTCATCAATTATATTTGGTGTGGAAATACTAAGAATGATTTTTTTGAATCATATAAATTTGGAATAAGATCTAAAGGTTGTGTTAATCTAGGATTAATATTCACTTTTAAATTTGAGAATCGAAGTTTTTTGATTTTTAAGGGTGGCGATACGTAATGAAATATTTAATTTGTTGATTTAATCATCTAAACAAAGGCTTCGAATGAATCTATTGAAGTGTTTTTTGCCAAATAGTTCTGCTTAAAATTCATATTCATCTTATGTATTTTTGTAATAATAGAATAAATTAAGGATATTCTTTAGGAATGAATAATCTCAATTTAATTCATCAATCATCATATTTTTAAATTAATCAAACTATTTTGATCAAGTAATTATATATATTAGTTGGGCTTTATAGATTTAAATTTTTTAATTAATCCTATTTCCTTCACAACTTATTCAGATTTAAACTCTGGTTTTTTTAAGCTTACAAATTTAAATTCAAATCATTTTTTATTTATTCTTTTGCTGAATCTATAAATCAATTAAAAAATTCAGTAATCCTAGTCTAAAATATCTTTTCAAAAGTTATTATTGAATTGATTAACTTTTATTTTTAAAATAAATAATTTAATAAATTAGTATCAAATTTAAATTAATTAATTTGATATTATAAAATCATTCTTATTTTATAAATTATAAGGAACTCAAAAAATGAGAATAATTAATTTAATTAAATTTTATTTTAATTACAAATATGATTGTGAGTAATTTGGATGAGTTGATTAGATCATGTATACTTATGGTTAAAATCTTAAACTATGCTTTTCAAATTATAAATGTTAGTTATTTTTTCTTTTTGGAATAGTAACATATTCTTGAGTAAAATCTAATATTCAGAATTAATATTTTTCTACCTCATATGTTATTATTCTGAATTTTTGCATATGATTTACGATATCTTCAATTTTTATAAAATTATTAATCATTATTTAATTTATTTTTCAATTAATCATGAATATTTTCAGGGATGGATAATTTGAATTATCACATTAAGAATGTAGATTTTTAATCACATTTTTCATGTCATTACAATTTATTAATTTACTATTTCAAATCAATCCTTGATGATATTATTAATAAAATTATTTGATCTGATCATGATAGGAAATATAATTTTGCTTAATTAATTAATCTATTAAAATATCTAATGAATGTAGAGTAATATTTTAAATACTAAAATGCTAATTTATTTATTTCGATTAATTTTATACAATTTTGAAATTCTATTATTATTTAAATAAATATAAAATAGAACATTATTAAATGCAGGAAAAAAAATAATAATTCAATGTTAAAAGAAGAAGTCATCAAAGAATGCTATGAAAATGAACATAAAGGTTTTAAAATTGTGGCTGTAGACCTTTCATAAAAATTCAATAAAGAAAATGATTAAAAAAGGTTTTACTGCGTTAAATGTCTTATTGAAAAGATAGGATCAAAAAAAATTATATTGTTTGAAGAAGCTTTAAAAAAAGCAGAAGATGCAAAAAAAGAATTAAAAAAAAATAGTGATTTATAAATCTAGCAGAAGTTGGAAAATATATAAAAAATAAAAGCGTCAATCACAACAATGGAGGAGAATTTTTAGAATACTTTAATAGCTTTTCAAAAATATTTGGAATAACAAATAACTATTGTATAAAAACAAATGGAAGAAATTCCAGAACCTACAAACTTAGATGATAATATTAAATTATTATCAAGTTGTTACAAAGACGATAATTAATTTTCAAGTCCTTAGCCTAATTAAGACACAAAAGAGATGGTGAGACTTTTGAACTCGATTAAAAGTTTTATAGAGTAAATAAAGAGCTCTTAATATATCCATGAAACAGAAAAATAAATCAAAATGATAGAATCATAAAACTATATTGATTAAGATTTTGAAGTATAATAAGTAAGCGTCTTTATAATTAATAGAAAACACCAGCTTTAATAATATTATGTGAAACTCATCAAATGGAGATTATTATGCTTAATTTAAGTCAAGCAGAGTTTGTGTAAAAAAATACTTACTTATGTATTGATTGTATCTAAGATTCTATTATTGGAGCAAATAAGGCCACTTCTAATTATTTAAGTTTAAAGGAGGCGAACAAAAGATGGAAAATGTATTTGGAAGAACAGAATGAAAATAAAACTTAGAGACAAACAAAATTTATTTAGGCCATAGGAATTATTAAAAAATTATAAGAGAAATATAATTAAGAATTCTCTAAAATTAATTAATCCTTGAATGATGAATTAATTAAAGAACCAAAAGGATTTGAAAAACTTTTGAAATTAAAAAACATTTCTTTTTTTGATTAAGACTAACAAAATCTTAATTTTATTATGGAAATTCTTGGTCAAAAAGAAAAGTATAAAAATTAGGAATAAATTTAAAGTTAAGAGGATTCCAAATTTTTCTAAAGCCAAAAAAAAATATTAGAAGAACTGATTAAAGAAAATCTAATTGTAGAGAATTAGTTATCATGGATTTAGAATTATGATTAATGTATTATTTAATGTTATTTAGAACCTTAAAATTTAAATGATGTTTCCAAAGATAATATTTAGACTGACTAAGAAGTTATAGATTTTCTTAAAAAGACCTCTATTTATGAATAATATTTTTCATTATTTGAAGTTTCATTTAATTATTTAAGAAAATTTAAATAAGAAGAATTAGATCTAAAATACAAAGGAAAGTTAGATAAACTATCATAATCTGAACAGGAAAATTAATCGAAAACAATTTAGATATATTAAAAGTGGTATAAATAATTCTAAGATAACTAATTAAAGTTGGAAAGATTAATGAACGTTTATGAAATTGAAAAAAAATTAATTTATGTTGAATAAGAAAAATAAATATTATTATAAGAAGAAATAAATAAAAACAAGATTTTAAATCAAGAAGATCACATAAATGATTAGAGGCAATCAATTTATTAATCAAAAAATTAAAAAAAACACTTAGATTCAGCATTAATTAATAAGCATCAGTTTGATAATTCTCTTATATAGATGACATGGTAAGAAGGTGAAACAAAATTACTGTAATTTGAATTTGGATAAAAATTATACAAATTTATTGAGGAAAAAACTAAAAAGAAAATAAAAAATAAATATTTGATATATTCAGAGACTGAGGCTGGATTAAATTACAAAACTTTTTGGAGCTACATTGATAAAATGTCTAATTTGTTGATGATCTTTAAATCAAAAAGTTAATATATATTTGGTGGATTCTCTTCTTGTTAATGGCTTAAATAAAATAAATAGTACTAAGTCGATGAAACATTATCATCGTTTTTATTTTCTTAATCTTATGACTAAATATACCCAATAATTTCAAGTTATTATGCAATAATTAATTATGATTCTGGAATAGGTTTTGGATGTGAAGATTTGAGAATCTCCTAAGATTTTTAGAATGGATCATCGCTTTTAGGAGGTACGTACTAATGTAATTAATATAAAATTAGTAATCAAAAACATCATTTATTTGGATAAGCTACTCCAAATATTTTAGAATGTGAAATCTTAATGTTTACTTTTACATGAGATAATATTTATATTCATATATAAAAATAAAAAAATATGTATAGATAAATCAAATAAGATCTTCAAGAAAATTTACAAAATATTTATTTAAATTAATTAAAAAATTCTCAACCTTTAAAAATCTGTAAACAGGGTTAAATAAATAACTATTAAAAAATTAAATTAGTAGATTTTAATCAATAAGATATAAAATGAATATATCTCCACAATTTTTGAGATTAAATATAGAACTAAATATCAATGCTTGCAAAATCTTTAATAAATAAACATATTGTTAGTTGATACCTTTTATTTCTTGAAATTTCAATGAACAGTAATATAGATCTCTAAATAAATGTCTTTAATTATTTATATTCTTATTGAATTAATTTTTTTACATTAATTTTTGTAATTATGTTTTAATCATAAATAATAGAATTTGAAAAATATTAGAATTGTAAAAAGCATAACCAACCAATACAATTTGTTGTATTCAACAATAATTTAAAGAGGGAGGAATATCTTTTGTGTAATATTTGTAGGTAAGATTTTGAAGGAGAGAGAGTATTTGAATTACAAATGATAGTTAAGATGATTGAAGATAATTTAAAGATTAAAGTAGAGAATATCGAAAGGTTGATAAAAGTTGATTTAGATTTAACTCAATAGCTCTTGGAGGAACTTAGGATGATAAAATAAAAGCTTAATTCTTAATTGGATGAATTGATATCTAATACTGTAGATTGGAACAAAAATCTCAATGTATGGGCAAAGAATTTATAATTTCAATTCTTAGATGAATTAGAAATAGTAAAAGAATAAATTAATACATCCAAACAAAATATATTCGATTCAGAATAATTGATTAATTCAATTACGAAACTTAATAATTCACATATTATTAAAAATAACACAAAATTAACTACACTTAAAAACTTAGACATGTATGTATAATGTGAATAAATTTTATAAAATTTGGATTTTGCCCATCATATTAAATCGATTGATAATTAAATAAAATAATTAGATTCATGCTATGCAATCTCATTTAATTAATCAGGATCACTTATGATTTCAGCATCTAATTAGTATATAAAAGTATGGGATTTTGTACAAGGAAAAATGAAAGAAATTACAACACTTGATGGACATGTTAAAACAATCCATTTTCTATTATTTAGTAAGAAAAGTAATAGTTTTTTATCAGCTGGTTCTGATAATACAATTCGATGTTGGAAAGAGATATATGAAAAATAATGGAAGAGTTCTTAACCATATTAGAAGCATACATAAAGTGTAGACTGTTTAATATTAAATGAACCTGAAAACTAGTTTGTTTCTGGTGGAAGTGATTGTTCGATTAAAATTTGGTAAATTGATTTAATTAGAAATTAATTAACTCATCTTTATTCATTAGATAGACATAAAAATTAAATTATTAGCCTAAGCTTTAATTAATTAGAAAATAAAATGGTTTCTTGTGGGTTAGATAATTAAATAATAATTTGGTAAAAATATAATCAAAAGGAATGGTAATTTGAGTAAATTGTTACATAAACATTTCTAGAATTAAAATACAGATTTTAATTTATAAATAATGATTAATTAATTTGCGTGAATGGTAATTAAGTAAGTTAGGATTCTATAAGCATATTTGAATCAAATAATGGAATATATAAAGAAAACTTGAATAAGTAAGTATAATTGATTAAAAATGACAAATTTTGTGATCTGGCTTTTTTTCCTATCTTTTATCACAAAGAAAAGAATTTGATAATTATAAAGCACAAGTAGCATGTATATTTAATAAAAACAACAAACGAAGGCTAATTAAAAATAATTACATCAATATAATTTTAATCAAATGAAATTTATGGAGCATTAACTAATGATGGAAAATATTTGGTTACTTGGAATAAGATGTTCCAGAAATATGATTCATATGAAATATAAATTAGTTGAATTTTCGCATGTGAATAATAATTATTCAAATTATATTTTATATATATCACATATCAATCGATAAATAATTAAAAATTCAATTTTATATTTTTTTATTTGGTTATTAGTGTTGACTCTATGAAAATTAATAATATAAAAGACAATAAAAAAACACTCTTTTTACAATTTTTATCAGATAATTTTATAGGATTACTTTTTTATAGAATTTATTAAATAAATCTTAATTGTTATTCCATATTTTTGGTTTACTATTGTCTAAAGATGATTTATGATAAAATAAAAAAGCTAAACATGAATGCAATCCATAATTACAAAAAAACAATTTTTATATTTGATCTCATACCAATAAGAGGAAAATTAGCTTTATAAAGTTTTGGATTTACTTAAAAAAGGATTCTGAGGAAAAAATCATTCAAGTAGAAATATATATTAAAATAATGAGAGAATATATTTTTTTTTAAACAATTAATTTTATTTTAAAAATTAATTAATGAAAAAAAAGAAAAAATATTTATTTAAAACGTTGGTGATGAGTAAACACTTTAAATATATAACCTTATATAATCAAGTTGTCGAATTGTTTTAGATTTAAGAAACATTTATCAAAAAAATCATTATCGGTATCTCTATTCAAAAAATCATTTTGGAGCCCTTTATATTTAGTTTAATTTTGACTTTATTTTTATTAGCTTGATACTTAATTATAATAATTAAATAAATTTATTTACTCAGTTTAATAAAATATAATTATATAATTTGATATGAACAGATTCCTTTTCTAATTATTGTATTGATAAATAACACTTTCGATTTTAAATAAAATACATGACAACCTTGGTTCAAATTGTTTATCGGAATTATTATATATTATTAATTTACTCCATTTTATAAACTCGTTCATTTATAGATCAATTTCAAAATAGACATTTAAAAATAAATATTTTTGAGAAAATTAGATAAATTGACTTAAAAAATTATCTATAAAAATCAATAGAATATTTTATTGTTTAGAATTCATTAATATTTTGAAGAAAATAAATTTAATTTAGATAATTAAATATAAATAACTAATATAATAGATTTAGTGGATGGTTTACTTTCATTATTTCAAATAATTGTTGATATTTAAAGATTAGATATTAATATTTCTATTGGAATGTAATGTAGAATTATATTTTTTGTTGTTGCAATAGTATTTCGTGATTTGAGAACATATTCAATTGGGGAATTTATTGTTTAAATAGTATCATGGTTTGTTTTTCATTTTTATATAATATACTTTGAGAGAATATATTTTGATAAAGGGGAATCAAAGACTTTAGAAAGAGAAAAACGTTTTAAATTAATGGATACATTATAATTAGGAATTGGAATAACATATTTAGCATTTAATTTTGATTCATTACTAGAATTATTAGCTTTAATTTTTTTTTCTCTTAATTTAGGATTATTTTATTGAATTAATACGTATTTATTTTAAAAATAATCGAGGATATTGTTAATTAATAATTGGTTTATTATTAGGAATTTTTGGTGTTACAAAAGTATTTTTATATTTTTATTATAAACTATAATAGGGGAGATACTGACTTTTTTACTCTTTGCCTATTTACTTTGTTAATATAATGCTGATTTTGTTTCATTTCAAACTTTATATATGTTAATTTGATTTAATTTTAGAAGCAATATCAATTTATTAGATAAAATGCACTTAAATATACTATTTTTAATAATAACAGCTAGTATAAACATTATCTTCTTATATAAACTCAGTGATTCTGTTTCATACTTTATAAACAATTCTAAAAACTTTTATAGTCAGAAATATAAATTTATTATCATAATTTAAATTAACTTCACTTATTGATACAAATATTAAATTAATGCAGGTGATTTTGATGAAATATATCAAAATAGAATTTTAACTATTCTTATTATTTCACAATGTTGTCTTCTCGATATCTTAATTAAATATTAGAAAGACCAATTAATTTTGTTAATTTGTTGAATCTAAAGTAATAACATAATTAACTCTGATATATATAAAATAATTTTGCTTTATAATCCCTTTTCTTTTGTTTTCCTTATTCAATGATGCACTATCTGAATAGTAACTCATATGGTTCATTTAATAAGGTTCAAATTCTTCGCATGAATTTGATTACAAATTCCAATAACATTATTTATGATCAAATTTTTGTATACTTTGAGCATATTATAATTCATTAAGATATTGAGAGCAAAGTTTAGGTTAATACAAATTCATTGTCTAATTATAGTATATCCAGAAAAACTAGAAGGGAAGTATATATCATTTTATGTTAAGTACATGATGTAGCCAAAATACAATAATTTCAATTCCACAAATATATATAAAAATAAAATAAAGATTAACTACAAGAGATTGGGAATTGTATCATAATTATTGTTTTTTTATTAAAATTTTCAAACGATTTGGTAAGTTTATTGTATAAGTCCACATGTGTTTCCTGGTGATAATCTTATATGTCCATTTTCTCCCCATCCTTCTCCCCATGAATTTTAAATAATCCAATTATTATTAGAGTCATAACCTACTATCAGAACATAGTGATTTTAACGAGTCGAAATACAATCAGAAAATATTCCAGATTTATAAAATTACCATTTTTCTACATTAACTGAAGTTGATATTGGTTAACTATTTAGATAGAATTTTACATATTTTTCCTCTAATCCAACCCATTCAAAATCATCAATGAAGATATATGGTTTTTTAGGTATATTGCACATAGCAAAATATGGATCATAGGGAAAATCAAAGGTGCTCACTAATCCTGCTTCCTTTACATATTAAAAAGCAAAATTATTTTACCCTCCTGCACACCCAGCATTTAAAGAACTGCAAGACACAATTTATTATACAGATGGCATGATACCATATTATTTTTTTGATATTGCAAACCAGGCTTCTATTTAATTGGATACCGAAAAGGCATATCCTGAATTACAGGTACCTTGATCCTTTACTTTTGAATAGTTTCTCCAATCTACAGCAGCTAAAATATCTTTTTTGATTTCAGGAATAGTATCATTTTTTTTAACTTCAAAAAATTCACCAATTTGTTAGTTATATAGATATAGAAATTCCTCCGAAGAAAGCACCATAAATTTATTCTCTCCCATCTAATAACTTGAATCTTCTCTTTAGTTATGCTCTTCAATCATTTTTTTATTTTAGTTATAGATTTCCATTCTAAATATTTTTTCACTACCAGAAAAAAATTTCTAATGTTTTGTCGCCCACTTTTCAAAATCAGTTTAACTTTCATTATTCAAGTGATAATATTGTATTGTTATAAGCAAGGCTAGAGCTGACACTAAGAATTATCTCATATTTTAATTAATAGAAATTGATTATTATTTTGAATTTTTTTATAAAATACAAATTTTTAAATAAGAAATTATTAAGAAAAGGAATTCTGTCATTCATAAAATTATATATAACTTAAGTTTTATTTAATTCGAACACTTTTCTCCTACAAATCAATCCATCCACTTTGATAATTGATAATATTTAAAATTTTTTGGTTTTTTTTCTAATCTTCTTTAATTTAAATTATGTATGAATATATCCATCATGATTAATTATGTTAATCTATTTTTTTATTTCATTAAGAAGAACAATTTGTATGTTTATGATTGAGAATAGTCTATAAAATAAAAAAAATATTTGATTTAATACACTATATTAGATACAAGAAACTTAAAGAAAGTTTTTCAAAGAGATTTTTATCAGATAAGAACAATCAATTTTACATTTTAAGCAAAAGTATTTTATTGGAAAATTTAAGATGGCTTAATTAATGGAAAAAACATGTCTCCTACGATGAGATAGTAGCTAACAAAGCACCAAGTTAGTAATTCGGCAGAATATAACTTGATAGAATTAATGATGATTTAAAGGATTATGTAAATCACTGCTTTCAATATGCTCCTTGTTAAAATGGGTTGGGGTTGGGTTTGGGTTTGGGGTTGGCCGCAAAGGGTTTGGGTTTGGGGTTGGGTTTGGGTTTGGGGTTGGGGTTTCAGGGTTAAATAAATAACTATTAAAAAATTAAATTAGTAGATTTTAATCAATAAGATATAAAATGAATATATCTCCACAATTTTTGAGATTAAATATAGAACTAAATATCAATGCTTGCAAAATCTTTAATAAATAAACATATTGTTAGTTGATACCTTTTATTTCTTGAAATTTCAATGAACAGTAATATAGATCTCTAAATAAATGTCTTTAATTATTTATATTCTTATTGAATTAATTTTTTTACATTAATTTTTGTAATTATGTTTTAATCATAAATAATAGAATTTGAAAAATATTAGAATTGTAAAAAGCATAACCAACCAATACAATTTGTTGTATTCAACAATAATTTAAAGAGGGAGGAATATCTTTTGTGTAATATTTGTAGGTAAGATTTTGAAGGAGAGAGAGTATTTGAATTACAAATGATAGTTAAGATGATTGAAGATAATTTAAAGATTAAAGTAGAGAATATCGAAAGGTTGATAAAAGTTGATTTAGATTTAACTCAATAGCTCTTGGAGGAACTTAGGATGATAAAATAAAAGCTTAATTCTTAATTGGATGAATTGATATCTAATACTGTAGATTGGAACAAAAATCTCAATGTATGGGCAAAGAATTTATAATTTCAATTCTTAGATGAATTAGAAATAGTAAAAGAATAAATTAATACATCCAAACAAAATATATTCGATTCAGAATAATTGATTAATTCAATTACGAAACTTAATAATTCACATATTATTAAAAATAACACAAAATTAACTACACTTAAAAACTTAGACATGTATGTATAATGTGAATAAATTTTATAAAATTTGGATTTTGCCCATCATATTAAATCGATTGATAATTAAATAAAATAATTAGATTCATGCTATGCAATCTCATTTAATTAATCAGGATCACTTATGATTTCAGCATCTAATTAGTATATAAAAGTATGGGATTTTGTACAAGGAAAAATGAAAGAAATTACAACACTTGATGGACATGTTAAAACAATCCATTTTCTATTATTTAGTAAGAAAAGTAATAGTTTTTTATCAGCTGGTTCTGATAATACAATTCGATGTTGGAAAGAGATATATGAAAAATAATGGAAGAGTTCTTAACCATATTAGAAGCATACATAAAGTGTAGACTGTTTAATATTAAATGAACCTGAAAACTAGTTTGTTTCTGGTGGAAGTGATTGTTCGATTAAAATTTGGTAAATTGATTTAATTAGAAATTAATTAACTCATCTTTATTCATTAGATAGACATAAAAATTAAATTATTAGCCTAAGCTTTAATTAATTAGAAAATAAAATGGTTTCTTGTGGGTTAGATAATTAAATAATAATTTGGTAAAAATATAATCAAAAGGAATGGTAATTTGAGTAAATTGTTACATAAACATTTCTAGAATTAAAATACAGATTTTAATTTATAAATAATGATTAATTAATTTGCGTGAATGGTAATTAAGTAAGTTAGGATTCTATAAGCATATTTGAATCAAATAATGGAATATATAAAGAAAACTTGAATAAGTAAGTATAATTGATTAAAAATGACAAATTTTGTGATCTGGCTTTTTTTCCTATCTTTTATCACAAAGAAAAGAATTTGATAATTATAAAGCACAAGTAGCATGTATATTTAATAAAAACAACAAACGAAGGCTAATTAAAAATAATTACATCAATATAATTTTAATCAAATGAAATTTATGGAGCATTAACTAATGATGGAAAATATTTGGTTACTTGGAATAAGATGTTCCAGAAATATGATTCATATGAAATATAAATTAGTTGAATTTTCGCATGTGAATAATAATTATTCAAATTATATTTTATATATATCACATATCAATCGATAAATAATTAAAAATTCAATTTTATATTTTTTTATTTGGTTATTAGTGTTGACTCTATGAAAATTAATAATATAAAAGACAATAAAAAAACACTCTTTTTACAATTTTTATCAGATAATTTTATAGGATTACTTTTTTATAGAATTTATTAAATAAATCTTAATTGTTATTCCATATTTTTGGTTTACTATTGTCTAAAGATGATTTATGATAAAATAAAAAAGCTAAACATGAATGCAATCCATAATTACAAAAAAACAATTTTTATATTTGATCTCATACCAATAAGAGGAAAATTAGCTTTATAAAGTTTTGGATTTACTTAAAAAAGGATTCTGAGGAAAAAATCATTCAAGTAGAAATATATATTAAAATAATGAGAGAATATATTTTTTTTTAAACAATTAATTTTATTTTAAAAATTAATTAATGAAAAAAAAGAAAAAATATTTATTTAAAACGTTGGTGATGAGTAAACACTTTAAATATATAACCTTATATAATCAAGTTGTCGAATTGTTTTAGATTTAAGAAACATTTATCAAAAAAATCATTATCGGTATCTCTATTCAAAAAATCATTTTGGAGCCCTTTATATTTAGTTTAATTTTGACTTTATTTTTATTAGCTTGATACTTAATTATAATAATTAAATAAATTTATTTACTCAGTTTAATAAAATATAATTATATAATTTGATATGAACAGATTCCTTTTCTAATTATTGTATTGATAAATAACACTTTCGATTTTAAATAAAATACATGACAACCTTGGTTCAAATTGTTTATCGGAATTATTATATATTATTAATTTACTCCATTTTATAAACTCGTTCATTTATAGATCAATTTCAAAATAGACATTTAAAAATAAATATTTTTGAGAAAATTAGATAAATTGACTTAAAAAATTATCTATAAAAATCAATAGAATATTTTATTGTTTAGAATTCATTAATATTTTGAAGAAAATAAATTTAATTTAGATAATTAAATATAAATAACTAATATAATAGATTTAGTGGATGGTTTACTTTCATTATTTCAAATAATTGTTGATATTTAAAGATTAGATATTAATATTTCTATTGGAATGTAATGTAGAATTATATTTTTTGTTGTTGCAATAGTATTTCGTGATTTGAGAACATATTCAATTGGGGAATTTATTGTTTAAATAGTATCATGGTTTGTTTTTCATTTTTATATAATATACTTTGAGAGAATATATTTTGATAAAGGGGAATCAAAGACTTTAGAAAGAGAAAAACGTTTTAAATTAATGGATACATTATAATTAGGAATTGGAATAACATATTTAGCATTTAATTTTGATTCATTACTAGAATTATTAGCTTTAATTTTTTTTTCTCTTAATTTAGGATTATTTTATTGAATTAATACGTATTTATTTTAAAAATAATCGAGGATATTGTTAATTAATAATTGGTTTATTATTAGGAATTTTTGGTGTTACAAAAGTATTTTTATATTTTTATTATAAACTATAATAGGGGAGATACTGACTTTTTTACTCTTTGCCTATTTACTTTGTTAATATAATGCTGATTTTGTTTCATTTCAAACTTTATATATGTTAATTTGATTTAATTTTAGAAGCAATATCAATTTATTAGATAAAATGCACTTAAATATACTATTTTTAATAATAACAGC